CCCCCCCCCCCCCCGACCCCCCGCCTCCCACGACTATCTTCGTTGTGCGCCCGCCCCCCAAAAATACCCAAATATCTCACCTCTGAGTTACCTTTGGTTACTCTACTCAAAGTTACTTTACTCTCGAATTTACTTACTTGAAGTTACTCGAGTCACTTAAGTTTACTAAACTTACTTAACTTGCCTTACCTCACCAACCTCCAAATACCCATACATACACATACACACCAAAACACCAAAACTCCTACTCGCACTACATCACACCTTACTTCACGTGTTCAATCCCCACCAACACATACCAACCTCCAAAAATACAAAATACTACGCCAAAACCTGCACCTGCAGTCCAGCCTAACCTGGGCAAGCAACTTGCAAGCCCTACCGACCTCAGCCTGCATATGCCGGGGCTGCCCTCGACCACGGTGTACACCCTACCACATCGCTTGCCAACGCATCCAGCATATCAGATTAAAGTACTCGGCCTCGCCTTTAGTCTCCGCCCAGCCACTCTGCGCCAAACAAAGACCGACCGCGTCGCCTGAAATCCCACCCACGCACGCAACCCATTGCCTTATCGTCATATCTCCATCGACATCATCGTTCGTCCAATTTCGCAGCTTCAGCTCGCCAGTATAATCTTTCAATACCCGCGACGCTCTTTGCACAATCTCCGCGCCGAACACGCGACGGGACGACGGGGCGACTGACTCGAGTCCGCCAACACGTCACTTCCCACGTTTCTCACATCCCCCACCACTAACCACCCACGAACCAACCGCGCGCCGAGAGTGAGTGAGAGCGAGAGAGCTCCGACGACGAGCTACACGACGCATCCCGACGCGCCGAATCCGACGCGCGACCGCCGCCAGGCAACCCAGCTCGCCGCCGCGAACAATCACCTAGACACGCCGTAGTCCCAATGATGGAGTACGCGCAATACCAACAACAGCCGCAAGGCCACCACCCTCAGAGCCAGGGCCACCTACAGAACCCATATCCCAACTCCGGGCAGCTACCGGGGCCAGGCGCACCCCTCACGTCGCCGACAAACCAGCCGCTGCACCAACAACAACACGCGCTCCACGGCCAGACATCCCCCATCCTGCCGTCGCAACAGCAAGGCGCGCAGGGCCAGGGCCACCCCGTGCACCAGCAGATGTACAACCAACCCCCCTACGGCGTCCAACCGCAGGGCATGCACTACGGGATGCCCGGCGGCATCTCGACACAAGCCGCCGCCATGGCAGCCACCGCCGCCGCCTCAGGCCAAGGCTACCCATTCCTATCATCTGACCCGAGTCTCCCCAACACCTCGCCGCGCATGGGCGGCCTCAACCTCAAGAAAGACGCTGCGCGCCGCCCGCGCTCGCCACACCAACTCACAAACCAACTCGGCCACCCCCGCCGCGTAAGCACGCAACTCGGCTCACCCGGCGCCCCAGCACAACCACTCAACCACGTCGCGCGCCCCGCGGCGCCACCGATGCCCGCACAAGCACCTCAGCACCCGCAGTCGCCCGAGCTCGTCGCGGGTGCAGGAGCAGAAGAGAGTCCGCTCTACGTCAACGCGAAGCAATTCCACCGCATCCTGAAACGGCGCGTCGCGCGCCAGCGCCTCGAGGAAGCACTCCGCCTCACCTCAAAGGGGAGGAAACCGTATCTCCACGAGTCGCGACATAACCACGCGATGCGCCGGCCGCGCGGTCCCGGTGGGCGCTTCCTGACCGCCGACGAGGTGGCGGAGATTGAGCGCAAGCAGGCGGAGGGCGAAGAGGGGGGCGCGGAGGCGGTGCCTGCTACGGCGACGCCGGCGAAGCAGGGGAGCGCGTCGACGCAGGGGAGTGCAGGCGCGCCGGGGGCGGGAGTGGCGCCGGGTGCGAATGCGAGTGCGCCAATGTCCGGGGGGAAGAGGAAGGCGGAGGATGAGGAGGAGGCGACGCCGAGTAAACGCGTTAAGGCGAGGGCGGCGAGCGAGGATGATGATGAGGAGGAGGAGGATGTGGATGAGGATGGCTAGATGGGGTCGGGTGAGGTTCGGTTTGAGCCATGTGTTTGTGTGTGTGTTGCATAGCGCGTTCGACGGGTCTGGGACTCGTCGTCGTTGCTGCGCGGCCTCCACCCTCCACATCCTCCCGTCCATCTTGTTATTCCACTCAGTCATCAATCATCCTCAACCAGTACACCACTTCTACACACCCCTACATACCAAACTCCTAAACCACCTCGCCTCCCCTTTTACGACGAAACGAACCGTTGATGAAATCACACCGCCCTTTGTTTTTTTGGCCTTGGGAAGGGGGGGGAAAGAAAAACTTTATCTTGCCACTACTACTACTACTGCTGCCCTGCTGCGTAACTTTAACTTACTACTGCTGTTTTTTGCTTTGGACTGTTTGTTTCTGAGAGGGAGATGTGTTGGAGTGGGAGGAATTATAACAATTTTTTGTGTTTGAGTTGAGATAATCTTGTTTTTATTTGTTTTTGTTCGAGGGGGGAAGAAGGAGGGAGAGGGAAGGAAGGAAGGGTGGTGGGGAGGATGGGGGGAAGGACGAGGAGGAAGGGGAAATCATCACGTCGACCTCTAGGTACGGCGGTGCTGTGTATCTCTCTCATCTTTCTCGTCGGGGGTCAGGGGATTAGGGTGGAGGGATATCAGCGGGACAACGGGACGCAAGGGACTGGAAATGGTCAGGGATAGGAAGGGAAGGGGAGGGGGAAAGAAGGGGAGGGGAGGGGGTTAATCGAAATCGACTTGCATCATATCCCCAAATGTCTATTCTTGTCAAATGTCTCGTTTACTTGTCACAAACTGGTTCTCTTTTCTATCTGCTCTCTGCTCTCTCTCATCTCTCGGCACACACTGTCTTGCTTATCTTGTTTATTTTGCTGTTTGTGTCGTCTCTTGCTGCTGTCTTTGTCATTGTTTGTGTTGGGGGGTGCTGCGTAAATTTTGTCTTTGTGTTTGTTTTGTTGTTTTTGGAGGGGGTTTGTTTTGGGATAGGAATGAAAGGAAGTTGGGATGGGAACGGAAGGGTGGTAAGGGACTGGGTATGGAAGGATGGTAAGGGACTGGGAATGGGAGGGAATGGAAGGATGGGATGGGAATGGGAAAGGGAACGACTTTTAGACTGGCATCCGCTCGCGCATTCTATGCTACCCTTTTTTTTTACTTTTAAAACTTTTAAACTTTTTAAATACTGGTGTTGGTGTTTGATGCTGATATGAATGCATTGGCGCCTTTATTCTCTCACTTGGTCTTTGGTCTTGGTCTTGGTCTTGGTCTTGCACGCGCGATGTGTGTGTGTGTGTGTGTTTATGTGGCTTTTGTGTGTTTTGAGGGTCTCTCAGGTCTCTCGGGTCCTTGGTCTTGATAGGTTTTGTGTTGTGTGCTGTATCGCTTTATGAGGTTACGTGATCATGATCCAAGCCTCTGATTAAGCGTCTGTGTGTGTGAGCTGGGAGGCAGAGGAGGGAGGGGCGGGCGTGGCGATGGTATATGCCGCAGGATTGAAGGGCGCTGGGGAGTTGGGACGAGGAAGGGGAAGTTAAGTGTGCGTGTGCGTGAGCTGGCTGGGCCGTGGAGGAGGAGGAGGGGAGATGGGGAATCATCAGGACGGGACGTGATGGGATGGTGCAGGTAGGCGTGACGGCACGATATGGGTGGGACGGGAGGATGGGGATAAAACAGGATGGGTAGGATTGGGACGATTGTAGGCGGGACAGTAGGATGGTGGGGCGGGACGGGGCGATTATAGGCAGGATAGGGAGGACCATCACATTTCGGGGTTTTATTTTCGTTTTTTGTCGTCTCTGTTTTATGAGCTTTCTGTCGGTTGGGATGGGATGGGATGGGATGGGGGTACACAAATAGGTCGGTTTTATTTCTTATATTTATATTCAGGAAAGAAAGAAAGGTCATTCGCTTGGGGGTGGGATGTATAAATGGTCGTCAAAACTTATTTTCCGATTTTAAATTTAAGATATTTGTATATGAGTTTGCTCTGTAGACACAAACTTGTTTATCTTCAAAACAGCAACTCTATGCCGTGTAGATATTACTCCGTCTTTTAACATCTTAGATCTTGGATATATTCTATAACCCTTTATATTTATATTTAGTAAAGAGGGAAAAAAGGCAAGGAATATGTAAAAGGTCATTAAACTTATCTTCTACCTATATAAAATTTTAAGATCGTCGTACATGACATTCTCTCTTACTAAACATAAACCAGTCATCTTTAAATATAGTGCTCTGGTCTGTATCAATATTACCTAGTTAGACATCTTACGCCTTAGGAATATTAATGTTATATCCATTAGGCATCTTATTTATATCTAAGGGATGTTAATACTAATGAGGATATCCTAAGAATAGATGGCACTATTAATTTCTCCAGCAAAACAACAACAAATGTCATCTTTTCCAACTACAACTCAATTCTATAACTACGACTTCAAATTAATTATCCCCAAACAATTTTATAATTATAGACCCTCTACCACCCATATCAGTGTATTTCATATATCAACGAATTAATAGCCATATACCCACAGTTGCGGTCGTGCAGTTGGGTTGGAAAAGTGATATTTCTTAGGCCGAGGGAGGAGGGGGGATATCAGTAATGCCACCACCTACTCTTTCAAACGCACACCTCCACCCAACTTCTACCTCAAGACCTTTCATCTCGTATATGTCTTTCTCAGCCCAGCAACCTTATGATAAAGATAAAGACTACTGGACCCGAAGCCGTGGCATTTATAGATTGAACTAAACAGATAAATACCGACGCATTTATGCGAAGCTTGTTGAGGGGTTTCTTATCTGGCTGATTGAAGAAGCTGTGCTGCCCACTCGAGGCGTGCATGAGTTTTGAGTGGCTGGGTGGTGGGGTGATGGTAGTGAGAGAGAGTGATGATAGCAGGAGAGCACGGTGACAGCAAGTGGGAGCAGTGACAGCAGGAGAAAACAGTAGCAGCAGGAGCAAACAGTGGCAGCAGGAGAGAACAGTGACAGTTAGTGACAACAAAAGTGAGAAACGGTAGCAGGAGAGAGTAGTGACAGACAGAACGGAGGGGCAAATTCAAAATCCGTACGGGCAGCCCCGTGGTATCGCGCCGGGAATTCAATATCTCCTCTACCTGCGCTGCTGTATCATATGATCGCACCTCCTCCGTCTTGAGGACGAGTGCGTTAGGGAACGATGATCTCTGGTAATATAATGACTTTTTGAACTCCAAGAGAAATTTTTCCCGGCCCCTGGGATCGACGGTTGATCAGCAGCGCGATGGGTTTCAGGTCCTTTTCGAAGGGTGGTATGTGGATACTATTTGAAAATGAAGCTGGGCTTCTTTCCTGAGGGCGAGCATATCCACTGCATACATATGATATGGCCTCTATATTCTACATATTTCATCACTAAGATCAGAAGCATGAGAGCAAAGTATAGTGTCATCACTACAATCAGAAGCATGGGACAAGATATAGTGGAAGTGGCACTGTAATTGTGTGCTAATAATAAAGTACAATTATGACTGTAAAAATAAAGTTCTAAGGAGTGCAAATTTGTGACCGACATCATCGTGATCCTAACCCTTCCGAAACAACACCGACTCCATCAAAATCCCGTCTCAATTAAAGACCAGGCGCATTTCAATAGCTGGGCGCGTTCAGGGCAAGGGCCATGAGACCACCACCGATAAGACCGGCAATCGGGATAGTCACGACCCAGGAGAAGAACAGGAGACCAACACGCTGCCAGTTGACAGCCTTGAAGGTACCGTTGCAAAGTCCGACACCGACGGTGGCACCAGTGATGCACATGGATGTAGAGACTGGGAGCTTGTACTGGGAGAAGATGAGGGTGGTGATGGCGGCGCCCATCTCCATGGACGAACCACGCGAGGGGGAGTGGTAGGTGAGCTTGTTACCCATGACCTTCATGATGTTGTAACCGTAGGTGATGAATCCGACACAGATGGTGAGGGCCATGACGGCGATCTGCCACGAGGGAACATCCTCCTTAGACTTGACAGTCTGGCCAGATTGCCATGCACCGTACATACCAGCCCAGACACCGACAGCGTTACCGACATCGTTGGCGCCGTGAGCGAAAGACGCGGTACAGGCGGTGATGATCTGGACGAAGGAGTAGAGGTACTCGACCTCGTTCTGGTACTTGGTGGCGTGGTCGTAGACGACGGCCATGCGGCGGCCCTCGGGGGTACCGAGGACACCGATCTGGGAGCCGTGGATGTCGTAGTAGACACCGTAGAGGAGGGCGCAGACGAGATGGGCGGGGAGGCGGACAAAGAAAGCCCAGAGGTTGTGGCGCTCGTAGATCTCACCGCTACCCATGGGGTGGTTGTGGAGAGTGCGCATGGCCCATCCGATTGGTCCTCTCTTGGTGCGGAGGAAGGCGTGGTGCTTGGCCTCGGCGCGGGCGAGGAGCAGGCGGTAGTGGGCTTGAGCGTTGATGCCGGCAGACTCGTCCTCCAACTGGGCGAGGGTCTTGGGGGCGGGTGCGCTCTTCTCGTTGGAGACGTCTCTCTCGCTGCCAGCAGGGGTAGTCTCAATGACGTCGAGGTCCTTGGTGGGCTCCTGGCCTGGAACCTTGAGATCTCCGGAGTCTTCCTCATCATTGTCGTGCTGGATGACGGCGTAGTTGGGAACGCGAGCCTGGGTGGCATCTGCCGGGGGAACGCGGTGGAAGAGGGCAGGTCCTTGCCAGATATCGGTGATCTTGAGGGTGTAATCCTTCTTGATGACCTTGCAGTGGACGTATGGGACGAAGAAGAGACCGGCGAGGATGAACAGACCGAAGCCAACACCGAGGGTGACGCTGGCGATGTACCAGGCGGGCTTCTTATCGAGACCAAGGTTGGGGGATCCCTTGTAGACGACGGAGAGCGTGCAAATGGTACCGGCGATCAGGAAGAAGAAAGGCGAGGTGAAGACAGCCCACTTGAGGGGGTCCTTGCGAGAGTGAACAGTTATCTTAATGAGCATGAAGATGATCGAAGCAAAGCATCCAGATGCGATTGGGGCCATGCAAAGACCAGCGAAGATGGCACCGAGACCGGATCCGTTACTCCATCCCCACTGGACGTTCTTAGCACCGACAGCGGCGACACCAACACCAGCGATGGAAGAGACCAGGGAGTATGTCGAAGAAACGTGGGCAGAGTTGCGAGTACACCACATAACCCAGATGGCGGCACCAGCGGAAGCGCAGGCGAAAGCCAACAGCTGGACACCAGCGTTGCCGTGGAATGCAGCGATGGGGATACTGTTTGCTGTTAGCTAATGGTCCTCTTGGCTATTTGTTATAATTGTTGAACACTAACATTCCGTTCTTAATCGTAGAGGCAGTGCGAGCACCGACAGCCATGGCACCAGTGATCTCGAAGACCAAGCACAAGAACATGGCCTGGCGGTATGTGACGGAGCGGGAGGACACCGACGTAGCCCAAGCGTTGGCAACATCGTCTATTGGAGGGTCAGCTCATGAACAATTGACAACAACAATGGGTATGAGGATGTGGTGGCAATAACTTACTTGCACCATTGTTAAACGCCTCAAGAAGCGCAAACATTGTGCCAAAGGCAAAAACGTAGGTATACTCGTGCATCACCATCTTGGCGGCTTAGCTCTTAGCTGTTGCTTGGACGGTTTACGGCTGGTTGATCTTGCCAATACATAGAAAGGCGAACATCACATATATATACCCATGATGGGAGCGCATGCGCGTGCTAATCGTCCCGACTAAACTTTCGCGAAGAAAGCCTGGACGAGACGAATAACCAATGTTGCAGAATAAGGAAGCAAAATCTCTCAGCACGTTGATATTCTGGACGAGCCAGAATACAGTATCAACCCACGTGGGTTTGATACACGGGATATTTGACAGACCTAAGAAATAAGGGTGGTAAGAGGAAGTCTGGGCAGTCTGGGCAACTTATACCGAAACGGCAATAATTATGGAACGGGAGCTTGGCGGCCATCTTGGCATAAAAAGTGGGCGACGAATGAGAAGACAGGAAATGAGAATTTAGACCCAGCGGAAGCATGGAGAGACCGAACCCCCTGTTGTCTTATCGGCACTAGTCCCTGGTAGTCTTGTTTAGTCTCCTTTCGTGGCTTTTGCTTGACTATCCTCGACTCCCCTCGTCTCTTACCTTGAACCACCCCACGTCCCTTAAGCAAGCACGAGGTCGTGGGAGTGAAACGAGCGGCATGATCTCCTCCCCCATCTCGCATCTTGAGCGTAGATTTACCAACAAAAAAAGGAAATAAAGGAAAACGATAGACTGCCTTCTAGAAGAAAGTGGATTGATGTGAGATTCACGATTCACATCCTGTTCCATCCTGAAAGCCAATAATAGGACGGCACATTCATGCAAGTCCCTGCGGCGGCTCTTAGTCTGCCTCAAATATGAAAAACTATTGATGGAGTGGAGTGTTGCCAGCGGCTGCATCTACGCAGCACGCGGCATGCATCTTTTACATTTGTCATGGGGAGAAGAATATGGGTTTGCCTCGCGTATAATGGGGTTTTTTTAATTTTTACTTATGACAGGCAGGCAGGTAGGCAGGCAGGCAGAGAAGGAGCGAGGCTCACTAGTTAATAGCAGAGAGTATTACAAAGATGGAAGGAGCGAGGCTCACTGTCTACCTAAGGCGCAGCTACGAAGCACGCACGTGTTGTGTATTAGATTCCACATCAGCATGTCATACTAACCCCCGTCTCCATAACCGCCCCCCCGCGCTAGATCTCATCCCAAACCACAAACGGCAACGCGCAATATGCAACACCCTCTACTAGCTTGCCAGTGCAATTCGCGATCTCCGTCCCGAGCGAGGGGTTGACTTCCAGAAAGATCGTGATTGTGGTCCCGCTCGTAAATGCAATAGTGCTGCACGTGTCCCCCGAGCCAGCCACTCGCCACGTCCCGCAGTTCAGGGTCGTGTTGGCTGCGACGGTCGCCCCGACTGGCGGGGGGCTGATGAAATGGCTATACCCCGGCGCGTCAGCTGGGATCGTCGTGTCGCCTGGCACGACGGTAGAATTTGCGGCAAACTCGCCGTTCTGCGGCGCTAGGCAGATGACGTGCCCGAAGGCGGCGTCACTAGCTGTGTGTAAGTTCGTGCAGTCGCGGTCGACCCAGCGATTGTACATTTGTACGTTGCCGATGACGGAGACCAGTGTGGTCGCCGTGACATTATATTCGATCGAGGAGCAGGTGTCGTCTGGCTTGATAGTCCAAGTCATCGCACAAGCAGGCGGCAGGCAGAGCGAGGTGCCTGCCGCGATAGAGGAGCAGTCGTATATCGAGTCGGGATTCCCGGCGTAGAGAGCTGCGGAGGCGAGGCTGTGCGATTCCGCGATCGAGTCGCAGGTGTCGCCCTCGGCGGTGACAATCATCTTGTTGGTTTGACAGTACGTCGATGGGTCGGGGAGGTCGAGAGGTGAGTCGGGGATCGTGGTGCTTCCGCCGACTGGGCATTGCTCGAGCGTGTATTCGAGTTGCGACTTGATGAAGGTGTCGTAGCTAGAGAACTGCGAGCGCTGCATTATGGCAAAATGTTCTATCCAACAGTAGGAGCACATCTCTTTTGGCGGCATGTCTTGGATTTTGGAAACTTGGGTGAAGCCATCGATAACTTCGCCGCAGTACTTGCCCGTTATGGGATCCAAAAGACAGGTCTGATTCCACCCACTCCAGATACGACCGCCGAGGAGAGTAGGCAGAGCATTGTTAACGCGATAGCCCGCACAAGCGATCGAAACACTATCGAACCAGCTCTTCAAGCTCTTCCCGCACGAAGCAGCGCAGACAGTATTGGTATCGTTGGCGGTTCCGAGCCAGCTTTGAATTCCGGGGGACTGATACGTCTCAGTACGGTTATCACACGCGATAACTTCGGTCAGCGCACTCCTGCAACTATCAGGCAAGACAGGCCCGTATAAGCTGTCGAGCAGGGCATTCGACCACACGCGGTACCCGGGGAACTCGCGTTCACCGACAATATCAGTTGATCCCTGGAGCCAGGCCAAGACAGAGGAGAGAAACCCATTAACGTTATCCTTGGCGTATGTAGGTGTACTCCCTAGGGGCGAGACCATCTCCTTGATGGCCTTGGTGCATAAATTATAAAGCCAGATGTCGCTACTCTGCTGGATCTCGAGCCCGCGCTCCTGGCAGTCGTTGGTGTCCACGCAGGCTTGGCTGTAGTCATCGAACCAGCTGTAGAGTCCAGCGCCAAGGACGTAGATGGACGCCGAGTTGATGATGCGGACCGCCCAGGAGACCGCACAGCGAGCCGAGCCGCCTACGCAGCTAGTGAAGGTTGGGTCGTTGGGGAATTGTCCTGATGTGAAGGGGGCTGGTGCGTGAGGGATTGGCTGGAAGTAAGGCGATTCCGTCTGAATCATGGCCATGACCACATCCTTTGCGTTGGAGAGTTGGTACTGGTACAGCACATTATGCTCGACCGAAGTTCCCCATAACCAAGCCTTATCGCTCTCAACAAGTAGACCTCGACCAGAGTAAATATCAATCTGATCTAGCGTCTTCGAATCCAAATCATGATCTGCCGTCCAGAGCCAGACATTCTCAAGATAGGCTGTCGACTTAGGCTTTAGGTGCATTAGGAGAGATGCAGCCTTACAGCGGGAATTGATAATCCCGGACTGCTTGGGGCAGTTCTTAACTGAGAGATCGCTACCTACCGCGCCGCCGATTCGGACATGGGTGTCTGTGCGAGAAGAACGGTTAGAATCAAATATTATAATTACCGGGTAAACACTGAGGTGTTGTATATAACTTACCCCACATGCCGGCAGCCCCAAGGCTTGATTCAGCCACGTTCCATTCAATGGCGACGGCACCTGCTGTGGCGCCCTTGACGGTGACCATCATACTCGTGATCTCAGCGATGCCGACATCCCCCGCCTTGCCCACTTGCACGACGGCTCTGGGTTGGGTTTCATCGGCGAACTGATTACCGTAGAAGTTAAGTTAGCGACTAGACTTTTTCTTGAAAGCCCAACATTGCGTTCCAAAGAGCAGATAGCTTCTACTGACCATATCACCAGTTCCCATAATCTGCGACCAAACCTGTCCAATGATGCGGGATCCAACTGGCACACGGAGAGTATCCGTCACAATGTACACCCCATACGGAATGAAAACCACAGACGAAGTATTCGCCGCGCCCTCAAGGATCGAATTGAGAATCTTCGTATCATCCGTCACCCCATCCCCCTTAGCCCCCAACGTCCTCGCATTCATAACCTTACCAGCCGCCACATCAAGATACCCCGGCCGTCTCCTCGTAAACAAGTTCGGCGCCATCTTATCATACGCATCACCTAGCAGCGCCGTGCTCCGCTTCATGACGGGGATACGCACCCCGTTAGCGAAGGAAGTTTTCCCGTCGCCGCTCGTTGCGGTGGTCACTAGCCCGAAACCCCAGTTATCAACTACGACCTGGTCTCCGCCGGCGAGGAGGACTTTGCCGGTTGTATCGTCGGTGATGGCTGTGACTGTGTTGAAGAAACCGACGTTCTGTAGCAGGAACGAGGTCGAGTTGTCGGCGAATAGCGTTGTCACGATGCCTTTAGGGGTGTTGGCGATGATGGAGTCGACTAGAATGAGAGATCCGACGCTTTGCCCAGTGGACTGCGGACCGCCGGCCTATGAAAAGGTATGTTAGATTTTGGGGTCGTGGGAAATGGGGACTGGGGGTCGACTTACGCCGCCGATAATGAGGAGGCCGGTGCCGCAGCTCTCAATGACAAAATCTTGCATCGTCCATGCCCAGTCCCAGTGCACTTGTAGGGCAATGACTGAGCTGACGAAGACGAGATGGCTGGTCGTGAACTGCTGGTTGCCAAAGTATGCCCTTTGAGCCGTCAGTAACTGCAATCCGTGCATATAGTCGGCTGAAAGGATGGCTCCTTACCCAAAATGCCCACCGACAAACGTGAGGTCTGCTAGAAATCCTCCGGAACCGTTCTCCATATATATTCCCTTGATATGCTACGTTAGCACTCTGTTATACGACTCAGGGGAAGTAAAAAAACGAGAAATGAGAAATGAGAAATGAGAAAAGATATTGAAAGCTTACCTGTTGATTGTTGCCTGGCACATCGGACTCGTATAGCATGTAAAACTCGATGTTCTCAAGCGACGTCGCCTGCGCGACTTGCCAATGGATGCCACACAGGTAGCTCCACGGAGAAGCAGGCCTGATGTCGATTTTGAAATTTCGGACGCTGCGTAAGAAGTTTGCCGTGTTGAGATACCTAGAGGGCCACAGTTAAATCCCTTCCAGCTTGCGGCTTGCATACACTTAATGAAATCACATACCACTCCACATTATCGCTAACATAAACGTCGCTGGTGATTACTCCTTGGCCTACGAAACTCGACGCAGCGAGCAAGGTTGGAACCTGCACGGCCTAGACGGAAATACCTCCATTAGTGCCCTTCGAACTTTGGTTCGGGGTTAAGTTGATTAGGACTCACATCACCGAGGAACTCCGTGTTGAAATATTGGATAATAGGACTGCTAACAAGGTACGTCCCAGGTGGGAAGTACACAACAGCTGGGTAGATAGTGCTTGACCCGCAGTCAGGACCACATCTCCCGCCTGAAGATACGGCGAGGTTAATAGCCTTCGTGTCATCTGTGACGCCGTCGCCTTTGGCACCAAAATCTTTCACATTACGCCAGACCTATCACTCTATGATTAGCTCCAATCCAAAATAGAGTCAATGTTATCACTCGCGTGAGTAGAGGAAGCCCTACCTTATACCCAGCCGGTGCAAAAGGACTCGACCCAGACGATCCCATGTCCACCATCCACCATGCACTAGCCCGCTTGGATTTTGCTTCATGATCATCGCCATAGACTGAGAGTCGCCCCTCTGGTGTCTTATGCGATGGCGGAACGTTCGTGTCGTTCGTCTTGTGCGCATACTTCTTCTTCATTGTCGCAGCTACTGCGGAGTGATTCCCCTTAGCGACCTGCCGCGTCGCCTCAGCCATGATTCTCGCAGCGTCAGCGAGCTCGGGCGAGATGGAGTAGCTTTTGGCGGCTGTCTCAGTGGTACTGTTGGCCTGATTTTGGCGCTTTTGGGTAGTGCCATTGTTGACGATGGACGAGGGTTGTAGAGCAGCTGCCAGCTTAGGAGTTATCTTGCCAGATTGGAACTTGTACTTGTTGAAGTGCGGATTCTCGACGCGGGCTTTGTTAACACGGCTGAGCGCTGAGAGGCCCTCCTCTACCAATGCCACTGCGGCGGAGGTCTTGCTGCCATCGCGAGCGTGGTTACCGTGGAGGTGAGTTCCAGAGATCAGTGTGGCATGGAAGATGAGGAGGAGTATTGTGAGGACTACACTCCTCAATGGGGGATCGAAGCGCCGCATAGTGATAAATACGACAGATAGAGACCTCACAAAGAAGGCTCTTGCTAGAGAGCTTGAAGATAGATAGAAATATGCAACGCGGACATAGCTAAAGGGGTTATAACCTATACAAGCCATAGCATAGCCAACTTTCCTCCGCCTCCTTATGAGAGCCATAGATACATATCGGGTCTACGAATGGAGTGATATTCGTAACTGCCGTTTTCCCTACCGGCGTCCCGACGTTCGCCGTCAGCACCACATGCCAGCGCCGTAGCCGGGCTCTCGGCTTCTGCAAGGCAGGCCTATAGAATTAACTCTTGACATGATTAATGTAAAAAATACGAGCGCGAAAATATCTAGTGCACCGCAACGGAAGATTACCAATCTATGAAAAGGTCCAATTAATATAAATTATATGAGTAAACGCGACCCGTGCCGTAAGCATCGGAAACGCTAGCACCTTCGGCGCCAGCGACTATGCAAATTGGACCTCTGATACCTTTACCAGCCTCGTAAGGCCAGCCAATCGCAAAATTTACTATTTTATATCCAATCAATTTACTGGGTTAGCCGTAATGTCATATGGTTAATGTCATATAGTTAAGAATAATCCTAAGAAGTTCTCGAAGGATTCTGTCGGCCGGCACTACAAGAGTCTGACCCGCCAAGGCACCCGTTGTCAACCCGGTTTGAGCCTAGCAGTGCCAATTAGAAACAAGCTTCTTTACCCATCAGCCTCACTAAGCCGGCCAATCGTAAAATGAACATTTTATATCCAATCAATTTACCAGGGTTAACCATAATGTCATATAATTAAGATAGAGCTATGCAAGAAGTTCTCAAAGGGTTCTATCCGCCTGCACTACATTAGTCTGACCCGCCAAGGCACCGGTTGTCAACCCCGTTTGAGGTTAGCGGTGCCAATTAGGAATAAGCTTCCTTACCACATTTAGACATATCAAAGTAGCCAAACCGCTAGTGGTCTATTAGTACCCACCGTTATGTCAACGAAGGATCAACGTGGATCAACGCAGGATCGGCGCCCTGACAGATTCAGTAGCGGATCGGCCCACGCTTGATTCAGGTCGACGTTTACTTAGCCACATATTGATTAGACATATGTTCCGGCCGTGAGATTTGCCCGCTCATAAGCTGACCGGCCAGCTCACGAGGGAGAATAACTCACGGCTGGGCCGGAACACATATGTCAAGTCTGCGACGATCGGATCTGTAAGCAGTTTACACCATGAGTGTCTGAACAGTAAGCCGGCTTATTCTTGACAGTGTCAAGGACGGTAAGCAACGTGATAACCGCGGTTCGGCAGTTCTTCTAATGCAACCCTTATACAAGTCCAAACATTGTTATGAGGCGTCATATAGGGATGTGGATGCTCCGTGGGCTACTCACTTAGTCTCGGTCAAGGGTTGAACATACTACAGTCTCTCTTCATGACACATGATCCTTCGGAATAGACGGAAATGTAAGGCGCTTATTACAGAATTGTAAGTGATTAGCAATGGCTAATTGTACATTCTCTCCGAGCCGAGATCCCTTCGGGGTTTGCGAAGCAGGAGGACCTTAGACTCGCTTTTTCAACATCTCTCACCTCATCCCCACCATTCACCTCTCTCCATGATTCAGACCTCAGCGACCTGTCTCTTTGATTTCTAGACAAACTTCGCACAATGGTGGCATCAAATCGCCTCCTACCGTATGCTCTCTGGGCGCTTCTGATATGCCTCCTAGGTCTCAGCAATGCCCAGGACGCCCCAGAGTGCAGCGCATCACTACCATGTACAGCGGGATGTTGCAGCAAATTTGGATTCTGCGGTTTAGGACCGGACTGTAAGAAGTTGCCCAAGCACGAGAGGAGCCAACCTCTTACCCCAGAGCAAAAGTTAACCTTGTATTACAGACTGCAGCAAGGATGTATGCGTCAATAACTGCGACCGCAAAGCTGATTGCGACCCGGGAGGTTATGGCAAAGACTACGTGCTCAAGACCACATGCCCCCTAAATGTTAGGACCGCTATCTATTCGTAACATTTCTGTCCTAACTGACATGTCTATATAGGTCTGCTGCTCTAAATATGGCTTCTGCGGAACAACAAAAGAGTTCTGTGGCACGAAAACCGTGAGGCGGCCAAGCTGTGACATTGACCAGAAAGGCAAGTTCAAGCGTGTTGTGGGATACTATGAGAGTTGGGCCACAGGGCGGCCGTGCAATCGCATCTACCCAGAGCAGATCCCTTCAGACATCTACTCCCATATCAACTTCGCCTTTGCTAGCATCGACCCCACCACTTTCGAGCTTGTCCCCGCCGATGTAGCAGATATTGATCTGTATAAGCGCGTGGCCAATCTCAAAGCCAAGGATATAAACCTCAAGGTTCTCATCTCTGTGGGCGGCTGGACCTTCAACGACCCAGGTCCCACGGCCACGACTTTCTCTGATATTGCAAGAGATGAGACGGCTCAGAGGAAGTTCATCGACTCGGTGCTCAGATTCTTGCAGACGTATAACTTTGACGGCATCGACATAGACTGGGAGTATCCTGAAGCTGAGGATCGGAGCGGGCGCGGCGAGGATTTCGCCAACTTCCCTAAGTTTATGAAAAATATAAAGCAGACTCTCAAGAGCTATGAGGTCAGCGTCACACTCCCGGCGTCTTTCTGTAAGTTACGATGGCTCTTTCTTCAGCCTTAGTCTCTAGTCCCATCCCGATTTCTAGTTGACTCCTCAATCGAAACGTCTCTAAAACTCGCTATAGGGTACCTTCAACACTTCGACCTTAAGAATCTCGCACCACACGTCGACTTCTTCAACATTTTGACGTACGACTTCCACGGCGTGTGGGACAAGCTGAACAAATGGGTCGGCCCGTATCTCAACTCTCACACCAACCTAACGGAAATCAAAGACGGTTTGGATCTCCTCTGGCGCAACGGCATCGACCACGACAAGGTGTCACTAGGCCTCGCCTTTTACGGCCGCGGATTTATAGCCAGCAGTCCCACTTGCCTCGAACCGGGTTGCACGTTCGAGTCCGGGACTGACGCCCAGTCGTGCAGCGCTGAGGTCGGTGTGCTGCTGAACTCAGAGATCGACGGCCTAGTCGCTGAGCAGAACTTAAAGCCCGTACTAAACAAGGACGCCGCCGTCAAAATCCTGACATGGGGTGGTAACAACTGGCTTACCTATGATGACGAGGAGACGCTGCAGATGAAGGCAGATTTTGCACGCAGCGAGTGCCTTGGCGGAGTCATGGTATGGGCAATCTCACATGATACGCAGGACATGAAGTACAGCAATGCTCTGTCGGGTGTGGCCCCAAGGCTGTTTAATTCCAAACTTTATCGGGGCAGCGTAGGTAACGGAGATAATGGATATGTTACGGATGAAACGGACTATCAACAGTGTAGGTGGACAGGTTGCAACGAGGACTGCCCAGGAGACTGGATCCGTATGATGAGGAAGGATGACGGCGCTAGGCGTGACGAGTTCATGGTCAATGGAGCGGGGTGTGGTGGATATGGTGAACAGTATGTCTACGTCTAGTGTCTCCCTGATCTAAGCACTTCGTCTGTGCTAACTCCTTCAAAGCAAGCTATGTTGCCCGCCAAGTGCCAACGTGCCCACATGCGGGTGGTACTCACATAGGAACGGCAATTGTGATAGTAAGTACCGATTCGCTCCATTCCCTATAATTCACAAACGCTCCTCCCACTAACTTCCCCGTAGATGGCGAATCCTGCCCAGCCGGCACAAAGGAAATCGGAAGCAACAGTGAATACTGTCACCCTAGCGGATTCTACTCGCCGATCAGGTCCTACCAAGCTGCATGCTGCACTACCGACACCGACAGTATGGTGTTATATTCCCAGTGCGACTGGTCCGCGAAAGTATCCCTCGGAAACTGGCCGGATTGTTCCAAGTCGTCGTGCAGTAATGATGTGGTCGCTTACTCTGGTGATGGCAGCGGCGAAGCCACCTGCTGGGGAGCCTGGTACGAGCAGCTAGGAGACTCACAAAAGAACAAGTACTGCTGTGATCAGCCTGATGATAACAAGAAATGGTCGGACTGCGAGTGGCAGGGTAAAACAGACGTGAGTGATAATATACGGCCCCGTTTCTTTATTCTAAAACGCTACCATTTTGTAGTTCGATGCTTTAGCAGGGAAGATGCTAACTATAGAATGTTATTAGATCATTGACGAAGACACGGGGTTGCACATTTGCACGGGGGAGTGCTCGGGGGGCCTTATTATGGTGGCCGCGCAGCAGGCGGGATGCTCGGGTGGGGGGGCTGAAGTGAGATGCTGCAAGCCGAGCTACAAATCATTACAGAAGAGGTATCAGAACAGCGAAGATGATGAGTTCGCATACTATCTAAAACGTGAGTTAAGCTACTTTTTTTTCAACGTGACATATTGTGTGGTTCTGCCTAGTTGCTAACATGTTTCTGTTTGTAGGTTACATGGAGAATCCATTCTGCTCGGCAAATATCTTCAACTCTAACGGACTGCGAAAGCGTATTGACTCACCAGTATCCGACCTAGCTGTCACAGCTAGCAATGGTGAGTTAGGACCTTAGATGCTTTCAACAGTCGAAATCGGAGTTAACAGCAGATGCAATCTCTTAGGCACCGTGATTAAGCGTCAATTTAGCCCAGATATTGTGGCCCAGGACTACGCGGAGAAAATGGCCGAGGAACTCTTTATTGGAACGCCGCGACAATCTACCATAGATATATGGGATAACACAGTGGTTCCCTACTTTGATAACCTCTCCTATGCTAACCTCCATGACTACCAGATGGGAGCCGGACGTAACGAATTCCTGCAGTATGGAAGTACGCAATGGCCCTGGTATATCACCTGCAATATGGCTACCCTACAAATCGCAATGTCGGGCAATGGAGGTGACTCGGACCCGGGCTCAGGCTCCTGCACGACAACCTGCGTGTGTGTTAGGGCCGACTGCTGCAGCGAGGATGACAGTGAATGCATCAACTCTAGCGAAGATGGGTATGACACCGTTTCCAAAAGGGCCGCAAAAAACTACGATTGGACGGCCTTCGATTATAGGACAGGTGCTAGACAGTCTCTTCCTTGGAGAGCACCAGATGTATGCCTTACTTCACTCTATTGACGTAACCTCTTAGAGACCAACAGCTAACTAATCTAATTAGTATCCTTCACCAAGCAATTTGAACAAGATTAAGGAGCGCAGCAAATTCGCCGAATCGTACACATACGATCCGAACTGCGCTAGCTTCCGCCCTGTCGTGGTCGATTCTTTACAGGACGGCAAAATTGTTGATGGATTCGAAAGCAAGTCCGCCCTAAATATGACCATACTTGTTTCTGGCCCTAACTCTGTTTATTAGACGATCACATATTTGAGCGCAAGATGCTGCCTGTCTGGGGCGACAACGCGCTCCAGGGATACCTCGCAGGCAATGAAGACGCCAGCCATCGGGTACCGTACGATTTCTTCACAATATCCTTGCAACAAATCGACGCATCAGGCGCCACTATCCAAGACCGTATGATGATTGCGCTTGGGAGCAACACGAACCGCGACGTGATGACGTTACTAGTTAAGGACTTAAACCTCGTAAAAGAGAGGGTAAGGGGTTCCTAGGACCTAATGTTTTGACGTTGAAACGACGAATGTTTAGCTGACAGCTTCTAGTTATGGACTACCACAGAATCCCCTATCGGCGACACAATGATGGAAAATCTAGTCTATGGAACAAGCACAATCACGGCATGCCCAAATCAGGGAATGGACAAAATCAGAAAAGTAAGATATCCCCTAGCAAGGCAGACCTATAGAAACAAATCGACTCACTATCTTCTCACAACACAGGTCCTCATCGTCTACCGATGGCACATGGAGCGAGAACCGCATAGACGCCTTAAAAATGTCATGAATAACCTTCGAGCTCTCCTCCACGAAGCAGACCTACACTACGAGAGAACACACAACGGCCAGAAATCTTACGCAGTAGAGCACTTTGACGCCTGGACCAAGACGACATTTGAGGTAATGAGGGATAGAATCAAGGCTTGGGGCCAGAATTGGCTAGACGAACTGAACATACCTGCCATCACTAATAGTTATGTGGGTAATAGCATTCGACAGAACCTAGTTATTGCCTACGGCAATATCCCTGACATTGACACAACGGACTTTTACGTCCCAGATTATTCATAGTTAGATGGCAGAGGAGCTAGGAGACGTTGATCCAGTGGGTTCGGTCTTAGGGGACCTAACTGCCAGGACAAAAAGACGGTCAGATGTTGTAATCTATCCTTAAAGATGTCACTGTATCTGCAGCAAAATGATACTATCCCCTATTATTGATAGAAGTGCGAGGTGTTGCGGAAATCATCGCTGAAGTCCATACCCCTGGTTCTTGTGCCGCCTAGAAGCTCGAGGGGCTGTACTGTGATGTACATAGCTGAGAATCGATGCTAGAAATTTGAGCTAATGGTATTTCTCTCTTTACCTGTATTTCCAAGTAATTAATGTGACAATACCAGTCCCTTGCTCTTGTGCTGCCCAAAAGGCCGCAGAGGGACTGTACTGTGCTATACATAGCCGAGGATCGATGCTAGCAATTCAAGCTAATAGTATTTCTCTATTTATCTCCATTTTTAAGTAATTAATGTGATATTAATAGCCCTTGGTTAATATTTTAATTATAGTTGCCGTAATCACCGCTGCCATCCACAGTCCTTCTTCCGACTTTTGGGCGGCACGAGTAGATGGCCAAAGCTCTACCTTCTATTGCTGTCTAAGACATTCTCTTATAAAAAGGTCCTCTCATGTCGCTGTTCATATAGACTTAACTCGGGGAATACCACAACTTCCCAGATCCATGGGGGATCTCCGTGCGTTCAAAGGTGTATAACCACTTCCCACTTGCCCTAGTCCTCTCAAACCATGCATCCGGGATGTCTTTAGTACACAGCTTCATCCATCCATCATAGTTGTCGCCATCCCCGCCGCCCTGAAATCTTTTTACGGCCTGCGAGTCAACCAGCCAGACATACGAGTGGCAATAGAGAACGTCCCGAGCCTACACGAACACAGTTTAGCATTCCCACATGATGAATAGGAGGGATGGCTTACACGTCTTTCCTCGCGAGATACTAGTTCTAACGACGGTGTCTCCTTGGGAAGTGTGGCGAGCGAGCGAAGCGAGCCCTCGTCGATGACTAGGAAGTCGCAGAACCTAGCGCTATCTTGGATGTTGAATTCGGCATTGCTGTCGACATCACCAACGGCATTGCAAAGCCAAGAATCAAAGGCGTTAGTGAGCGCCTTGATATCATCTTGGCTAGCGTTGTCAAGGTCAGGGACGTTTATCTTCTCCAAGTCCACGTCAACTTCCTCAAGTATGAAGCGGCGCCCAAGCTCTTCATTGACTGAGCTGTCGCTTTTGTTCGTAGCCAGACGGTTAAGGTGAACAAAGTACTGCGTCACCCAGCGCCTTAGATTTTCTAACGCAATCGGCCATAGTGTGTTAGACTCATCTGAGTATGTTGTGCGTAGTACTAGTTTTGTCAGATTATGCCAGATCATATCGAATTAATCAAGGTTGTATAATACATAACGAATAAGTGAATGTGATGGCGTATTTACCTGTGTAGCCCCACGATCCTTCAGCGTATCTGCCTGAGTTTTTATATCTGCACATGGAGTCGTTCATCATACTGAACCACCACATGGCCTGTGTATCCTTATCACGATTGAACATTGGTAAAGTATGCGCAGATAATTCGCGGGATGGTTTGGGAAACGTTTCTTTGATAGACATTATGGATGGATGCACTTTCGCAAGGTAAATATTCGAAACGGGGGTGTAGGAAGCCTGATGTAGATATAAAAGTGATTATGGAGGTAGTAGAAAGGAGAATTAAAAATGTTAACTAAAGATAAGTTAATGTGATTTTTCGTGCGTGTCCTAACTTCCTGGTATTGTACGAGGCTATGGCCTGTACTTATAATGGAGCTCAAGCCACTCTTCCGATCGCCCTAACGCACGAACCACCCACGCCCCCTTGCGTCGGGTCCAGCCGCCAGGGTCGTCGGACTAAAACAAACGGCGGGTTTAACACCCATCCCATTTCTATTTCGAACCAAGCTGTCAATTGTTTGCCGTTTCTCGGGCTTCCTGTCGCCACAACACGCCTTGAGCGACAAGCGACGGAGACGAGAACTAGTCTTCGACTTGGCTTTGGCTTTGCGGGATAGGGAAGGGAGAGAGAGGGTGAGGCGCGGACTTGGGCGAAACTTTCACGGACACTCGATACTCGCTCATCCTCTCGGAATTGCCAATACACCACCGACGCTAAAGAGACGCTTGCTCGGGGCTTCTACAACATTGGAGAAGCGGCTTGAAAGGGAGTAGAGCGGTTTGTTTGACGCCAACACCGAGACGAAGACGGAGTTCCCGGTGCCTGGGTAACAAAGCGAACAGCAGGCAAGGGGCGCAACGAGGGACACAGATCGAACAGACACACATCCGCAATACGCACATACTCTTCTATTGAAACGGAAGAAGAGAACTACACGCCCAAGAGGCAACATAACCATCATCCGTCGACCAGCCAGACCTCACGACCACCTCCAAATCTCCCACCCGCACAAACCACCGCAACGATGCCGACACGTCTCGCATCTCCTCCGCCACCACACGCAATGAAACGCAAGCGCGACGACACAGGCTCCCCACACGTAACAACAGGAGAAGGAAGGAGTATACTCAAACCCCGCCTCCTACGAACCGGGAGCGTCAAACGGGTCCGCTGCGATGGGGAGAGCTGGCGGCGGCGCGAGGGGGATGGGGGATGGGGACTATGGGACCAACAACGTGATAATTTCTCAGAGGATGGAATGGAAGATGGAAAGAATGGATGGGGAGGGGGGAACCAGGTGGCGATAGGGGTGAAACTCGACTTATCGCCCTGTGTGGTGTGTGCGCGCCGGCCGCGGGTGAAGGGGGATTTACTTGGAGGCGGGTTTGGGGCGTGTGATGGGTGTGGGGGAAGGGTGTGCTGTATTTGTGTTAGGCGGTGTGATGGGGGTGGAAGGGATAGGGTTGGAGAGATAGGAGAGGAGATGGAGGAGAGTGGTGGGGAGGGAAATGAAGATGGAAGAATGCAACGGGAATGGGGAGGTGGCGCGTCACATTGCGAGGTTATTTGCAGTCGATGTTGTGTTGAGAGGGGGGAGGAGGGGGAAGTGCGGTGTTTGGGATGCCTGTGGAAGGAAGGAGAATGAGACCGTGTCTTTTCTTCTGGGAAGGGGGGATGTGCCTGGATGGCGTCCTTGGGGGGCACGATGTATATATAAATATTATACCCAGGTGGTCTATCTGGGATGCACGTGGGAGCGGTGCGATTGATATCAACGACTGGGAGTCACTCAGTTAGTATCATATTACTAGTTTGGCGACACATGGCTGTCGCCATCCCAATGAACAACACATTTACTATACACAACGGGCCCTTTCAGAGCCTCCGAGTCATCGTGATGTAGGCACTTGAGTGAGCACCCGTCTCCGGGCTGGGAGGCGGGTGGCTAAACAGCATACTTGGCCAACTCACGCAACTATCACGGTTAGGGAGCATGGGCGACGTTGGATTTCGAAAGTAGATAGGGACGAGACCTCCAATAAGATTACTATAAATACATCCCTACATGCAACCCATATATACGCGCATCATAACACACTACCGCCCTCTAATACAAATCCTCATCCTCCTCCGCCCTCCCAAACCCACCAACAGCCACTCCCTCATCGGTATCCTCCTCCATCCTCGCCTTTCCCTTCCCCTTCCCCTTCCCACTACTCCTCGGCCTCCCATTCACCAACTTCTTCTCCACCACTCCATTAGCCTTCTTCCCATCCGCACCCCCGTTCGCCTCCGGAACAGCCTCAAACTGCGCCCGCACCTTCGTATAATGCTCCAACTCCTTCGCACTGACACTGGGAATCAGCTCCTGCTGCGCAGCCATGAAATCCTCTTCTGTGACCACCACAGCCACATCTGCTGGCTTTGCGTAGTGGTCGAAGAAGTACGCCGTCGTGATTGTGTCGTCGGGCGCGCGCTGAGAGTTGATGGCTTTGACTTGTGCGTCTACAGCGGATGCTTGGCGTGTTACGGCTTTGAGCATGGCGTCGGAGCAGAGGGCGTAGAAATCGGCACCAGTGTAGGTGAAGGGAAGGCGGGTGGCGATGCGTGGGAGTGAGAGGGTGGGTGACATGGTGAATCTGGGATAGTGTCAGTATGACCCGGTTCAAAAGGATAAAAGGGGCTGGGAAGGGGGATACGTACTTCCTGGTCAACGCCTCCATGATCGTTGCCTGCTTGTCGTGTGTATCGCTCACACCAAGGTAGAGCATCTTATCGAAGCGACCCGGGCGGAGCAGCGCTGCATCCAGCAGATCGGGACGATTCGTCGCGCCGATGACGAATACGCCACCGCCGCCATCATCGCCATCGCTCATTCCATCCAGCTCTGCGAGCAGCTGGGACACGATACGATCCATGACACCTCCACTATCACCCTGGTTACCACGCTTCGGCGCGACGGAGTCGAGCTCATCGAAGAAGACAACGCAGGGCCTCGCGTCGCGCGCCCGCTGGAACACACGGCGCACGTTCGCCTCAGACTCTCCAATGTACATGTTGAGCAGCTCTGGGCCCTTGACGGAGAAGAAGTTGAGCGCGAACTCAGTCGCGATGGCCTTTGCCAACAGCGTCTTACCCGTACCGGGTGGACCATAGAACAGGATACCAGAGCGCTTCTTCATGCCCTTAGCGAACAGCTCAGGGCGCTCGAGCGGCAGCTGGATGGTCTCCATGACAGCATCCTTGACGTGCGCGAGACCACCGACATCGTCCCACGTGACGTTGGGGATCTTCGGCGCACCGATAGCGTCGGCGAAGTTCTGACGTGCGTGCTCAACAGCGTGGTTGAAATCGGCGCTGGTGAGGCTGCGCGATGGGCCACCAGATAGCTGCACGTCGCGCACGGAGACGGGGAGGGCGGCCGAGGCGGCCGAGGTAGCGAGGCTTTCGAGACGAGTGTGGCGTGCCACCAGGGCACGGTCCACGACGTCAACTAGGTCACCAGCAACGAGAGCGGCGGTTTTGACGGCTACGCCACCAAGGTCTACGTCGGTTGAGAGGGAGACACCGCGGTCATCGACGATGCTGTGGAGGATGCTCTCACGCTCGCCTTCATCGGGTGCATGCATATCGAGCTCGTGAGTGAACAGGCTGCGGATTCCGTCCGGTACCTTGTCCACTTCCGTTGTGGTCGCGATGATGACGCGGGAGTCGGCGAGGACGTCCTTCAAAGCTGCAATCATCCGCTCAGCCGCCAGGGCCTCGATGTGGCGGACTACGAGTGCCGTGTTCTCCGCGCCGCAGGTCAGGGCACGATCGGCACGCGCCTTAAGGAAACCTTCTGTCTTAACATCGCCGCCGGCTCCACCTTCGCTGACTATGTCGTACGCGTCGATGGTGAAGCTGTGAAGACCGATATCGGAACAGGCTCTGCTAGCAAGCGTTGCTTTGCCAATGTTCCTCTGGGTTGACACAAGCAGGATGGCTAGCGGTGGGAGCTTTAGGTGGATAGACCTTGCGCTTGTCGCCGCTGCGACCAGTTCTCGCAGTTGGCGGCGGAGAGGGGTGATGTGCTGAGGCTGAGGCTCTGGCATAGTCGGGGCCAAAGCATCAGAACTAGATTTAGAGACCGCTCGCAGCTTGAAGTAGTGCTCCCAAGGGCTGTCCTTGGTCGGTGGCAAGCGGCTCTTTTCCGTCCCAGCTGCAGCCATTTGCGTCTGGGAGAAATCAATAGCTGCTACGCCGCCCCAGATATCCTCGTCCTCAGGGTCCTCAACCTCTTCGCGTCGTGCGTGCGTGATATGGCTAACCTTGAACCAAATAACCCCAGTAGATTTCGTCAAACTGGTCCCCTGCTGATCGGGGTTGACTAACATGTCGTCTGTTATCGCGTCCTCTTTACCCGATGAAGTCTGGAATAATGTCCTTCCTAATGCCTCATCGATTGGAATTCCGACGATATCTCCAGTCTTGACAACCCTTGCTCTCTGAGTGAAGTGTCGCTTGAGGCCGCTAATAGCAGCAGTCTGGAGAGTCTTCTCAGTAGCCAAAGGTGTAGCAATCTTTGCGAAAGTCACCTCGCGGGCAACGGGTGGCAGCGAAGTGTTGGTAATCTTCGGTAGTGAAGCCTTCCCTACCGTCTGGGTCTGCTTCAGAGTCGACAAGCGCACATATGGGGTGCTATCTAGATTGGCTAACAGTATTGGTGAAAGATAGACTGTCGGGCTCGTGGGTTTCGACACCTGTGAGTCGAAGAATGACATCTTCTTTGACCCTCTGCTAGACGGTATCTTGGTGACGGCCCTGTGCGAGTACCCTTCTGGCAAACTGTAAACCTTGACAGGTCGCCAGATGAAGTCCTCATCCTGCGCCTGTCCAAAGCTACCCAGTGTCCACAGACCCATGCCTTGCTCAGGCGGCTCAGAGGCAGTCTCCAGGCGGACCCAATCGCCTGAGAAGCAGCCGATCTTAGTGAGCGAGTTTACGTCAACGTAGATGCGTGCTTCCTCGTCATCGTCGGCTGGAGGAGTAGGGCGGAGCAGCTCTTCGGGAAGAGGGCTCATTAGACCCTGCGCCTTGAAGAGTCTGCCCCGTTGGCCACCAGCTCGCGCTGTTGTCGCAGTGTAATTTGAAAACACGGATCCGGGAGTCGCAATGCCATTGGTTCTACGGCTAGGGCCGAGAGGAGTAGCCATGCCACTTATATTCGAGGAGGGCAGCATTGGAGCTTGTAAAGAAATCATCTCATCCATAGAATCGTCCGACAGATTGTCCGTATCGTCAAGGTCTTGATCTTCGGCCTCAGTCTCTGTCATTGAGTCGTCTTCAGGAGCCGCATCGGTTTTGTAGCGGTCTTCGGCGGCCGAAAAGAACTGCTCATTAGAGGTATCCTCATCTACCTCAGTGACCTGGTCTAGAACGCGCCTCAGAGACATATTCGACGCCTTCCTGACAGTCCTCGTGTGGTGCCCCGTCTGCGTGACAATGATGCGCGTATTAGGCGACAATATGCCCTGTGCGACTGGCTCACACAGAGTCACCTTTGCTGGTGGGGGCAAAACATGCGTGATAGAATGCGGCGCCAGAGGAAGCGGGAAAAAGTCACCTGCATGCACAACCTTCAATGACGACAGGGCTTCTCGGATTGCCGAGCTGAGTCGGTCTTCCGGCACAGCGCTCTTTCCATTTGCATGGTTGCCGTTGGCCAGCGGGTGCTCGCCATGGAACGTTCCCTCACCATTTTCAAGTCGCTTGGCCAGGCCAGCCTCGAGAGTGACGAACACAGTGTCCAATGTCAGGGGCAACACATCAAGTGCCCAGATCTCGATTCCGCTACGGCTGTGACTGAGCAGTTTCGACGGAGTCGTGCGCTGGAGCTCTTCGGCAAAGCCTTGTAGGGCGACAGAGCTGGGCGCGAACTGTATAGTGTTGGTCGCGAGGGCGCTCGACGGCCTCACGGGCACGACAGTCCAGCTAATTTCGTCCACGGAATTGAAGGGGGCTTTCGGGGATATCGCAATGTGTGCAAGCTCGGGTATGCCGACGGGTCCGTCGCCGTTTGTTTCGTCGTCTTCATTGCACTGTTAGCCGACCGAATTACTCGTATTTCATGCAGTCACTTACGTTGGTCTTGGGCGGGAAAGAGCTCGTTATAGAGGTCTTCTGACACAATCCCCACATCGCCTCGGACATGCTCATCCAGCACCAGTCTCGCGAATACCGCAGACTTGTCCTGGCGACGTCTTCTCTTGCGCTTGCGCCTGTTAGCTATCGGGGTATGCTGTATAACAGCCGACATTCTGGAGGGTTGCCGGCGCTGTATAATCAAGGGGTTTGAAGTGTTGTAGTTTGCGCGTTAAGTTCACAGTTTCATCGCCGATTCCTCAGCATGTGCCCGAGGTAACTGTGTGGCTCTGAGACTGACGGAGCCAAAATATACGACGAAATATATACAGAATATGCTTCGAGTGACTGAACGCTGAAGTCGCAATGAGTTGTACAATGGTTCAAGGAATTATTGGGGTAAACGTCTCTCGGGCCACGGCGTCAGCTATGGTAGTGGGGATTGAGAGTCGCGGTTCGGAGTCTGGGGCTTGGGAGCCGAGGGACAATTTGATCCTGTATCCTCACAAGCCATGGGGAACGGAGCCGAGAATGTGGGGTTGACCAATGAGGCGGATATGCACGTGACTCGACTCCAAATAACTTAGCCTCGCACATCAGTCAGCTCCAACTCATGAACCTGTGAAGGGCATAACCACAACAATGAACTAATGCTATACAGTCGTTACTTGAAAAATCTTTGCAATTGACTGCTTGAGCTAAGTTACCGACAGAATTTGAGTTATTAGCTTTGTAATTTCTTTATGCCAACTGCAAAGCGAAAAGAGGCGTCTGCATGCCCCAAGTTGATACAAACTCGATTAATGATCTCTAGCTATCCAACAAGAACCCCCATCTTCACTTTTCACTTTTTGCTCGAGCATCCCTTTTTATATGAACCTCTCCTTGCACTCTAACTTTTCCTTTCCCTATTCAAACCTCAAACACGACTCATCGGATCTAGCCCTTGCCTGGTTTTCCAACGCTAGTTGTTAGATTTCTTTGTGGGGTTTGCTAACTGGCCCCCCCCATAAGCTTCAGTCCAAATACTTCAACCCAGCTCCAGTATTCCCCTCAACACTTCCACTGCAAAGTCCCCTTGGCCCTCCAGCATCGCCACGAACCAGTCCTCGCTGATTAGTGCATGTATGTGCAACACCACCGTCTTAATAACGAACTTTCTCAGGGAATCACCAGGCAGCGTTCTCTGGAACACCATCTCCACACTATCCATGAAAGTATCTCTCTGCCATATCTCTGCCACAAGCTCTGTGTACTTATGCCGGGCAAGGCCCTTTAGGGCGGGGATGCTGTTCTTGTCAGCTATGACATATACTTCGACATTCACAACCAGTGCGTCCGCGTTAAGCTCTACCAGTTCCTCGCCGGGTTTGGTAGAATAGCGCGTGTCACCGTAGTCGCCTTGGTAGAGGAAGCGAAGCATCATCTCCACGATGTCTGGTTTGTCGTCTGGGAGGTCAATGACGCCGCTGTGAGCTTCCTGTATTTGTTAGCCTGTGAGCCTGCCTGGTGTTTTTTTTGCAGTTGACAGAGAGGTGGGATCTATCATACCTTGAACCCTCCATCAACCATGGCTGCAAATACAGGCGAATGAGTGCAGACCACTGAGCGATGCATATTCCATGCTTGTTCCTGGCATGTAATGCGCATGTCGCTGTACTTTCCTGAATCGAGGAGGCTGGATTAAAAAGTTGGTATGGGGACAGTGAAGTTATCTAGGGAAGGCCACTCACACGTCCATAACTGTGTCGACAGCCTTCAAGTTCGAGATATCAGTCAAATCGCTTCTGGCGGAGGGTGAATGAAGGTCGAGACTCTTTTGACTGATCTTGATGGTATTATGAGATTGAACAAAGAGAATTGGGGGTTTGGGGAGATGCGACAACTATCGGACGTGTATGAGCTCTGGGTGAGAACCCATGGTTGCCCATGGCGTTTGTTAACTGGGAATTGGGATTGGTAGTGGATGTGTTGAAGAAGGCAGTTGCAATGGAGGGGTGGATTTGTTATGGTCCTCGGCAAGGTGAGGGATAAACGACGGGCAGAGTATATTTCCAGTGAATTATGAACAACTCTTTCTCTCTGGGTTTTATCTTCTATCCCACAATCTGTGTACGCCCTTCGAGTAAACGGAGTCTATATAACTACGAGTTTTACCATAGTCTCGGAGGGAATCTGGATGCTGGAGTCCTTGCAGAAGCTTGCAAAAGGTGCGGGACCAAGACTTGGAGACAAATTCACTTCAGAACCATAACCAATACTACATTATTCTCTGTATTACTTTATACACTCTCATTATTTATTTGGTTCCCCTTTCCTCGTTTGTCGTCACTCTAATCAATATTCATTGCTTGAATATCCTACTCGCATCAACTACCACAGCGATGAACAGGTAATATATTCTTCACTATACTACATCGCGTTATGTATTAACGCTCATTCTTTCAGCCTTCTTGATTCTGGGAAATACAGCGACTTGCGTATCGCTGTTGCGGAGAGTTTTGGGACGTTCACCGAACTGTGATCTCCACAGCGTCGTACACCTTCGAGAAAATGGTTGACAAGTGTTCTGAGGCAAGCGTTCTATCTCAAAGAAGGTGATCTACTATGGTAACTTGAAGCAGAAGGTGGATTCCCCCGGCGTGATTGACGTCAATAAGTACCATCCGAAGATCGTGGAGAAAATGTTGCGCTTCATCTACCACGGCGACTACGACGACGAGCGTGAACAAAAAAACCACGCGGCAACCGATCTTCCACATGAAACAAAGGTCGAAACTGAGTCTTGCAAATATGAGATTTCTAAAATTCTTGATAACCCCCCGCAAGAACCTGGCCGGCCACTTTGGAATAAAGACGCGCTGCGTGTGACTATCGAGGTCTTCGTTATTGCTGACCATCACCATTTGCATACCCTCATGCGGCATGCAGCAAAGAAGTTTGAAGAGGTTGTAGGGAGGCTGTGGAAAACAGCAAGCTTTGCGCAAAGCATAAAACAGTTTTATGATTCTCAGATCAGCGAACTTTACCGCAGGCCAATCCGCAACGTTATTATCAAGGCCATCGTAAATAATGCCCCTGTGCTACTGAAGGAGAAGACATTCCAAAACATATTATCCCACTATGGTGATCTGGCGATGGAGGTGTTATGGACCGTAGTGAAAGTAGAGGACAAGTGACAACTTAACATGGGGAGTTTTCTTCTCGGCAACATTGAAAGGAAGGAAACAAAAAGTTCTGAGAATGCTTCAAGGATGAAACAAAAAAAAAGGGGGGTTTTCAGCTAAGGTCAACGCTCCTTTCACGGAAAGGGGACACTGCGGTTGTGTTAGAACAAATAGGCTACAGGGGTCATGTTCGTGGCAGAGAGGCGGCTTTGCAGTTAAAAAGTTTGTACCTTCAAGTTACATCCTAGTTTGACAGTCAAGCTATATCAAGTCTCCAGACACCACAATCTCGCTCGCTCAAAATGAGGATATATGCAAAAACAACTGAACTCCATTGCCATGCTCAGACGCGGCCCCCCGTCATCACTTCATTTTCTTTTCCCCAACTATAAAACAAGCAATCGTGCTACCATCTCATCTACACCAAAGCCCAAAATCGCAGAAGTCGTGATATAATTCTGAAGCCTCGGAGAGGTCCGCTCGCCAAAAGCGAGTTTGCTGCGCTGCTCGACACGGATGGGGCGGTCTGCTCTGTTCCTGTGGCCGTGTCTTGAGATGATCCTGTACCCGATTCTTCCGAGCCGGAGCCTGAGTTCGTGCCAGTGCCTGTGCTCGTTGCCGTGGCTTCAGATCCTGATCCCTTGCTCGTGGTGGTGCGCGTTGGAACGGCCTTCTTAGTCGTCGAAACAACAGTAGAGGGTCCTGCAATAACACCACGTCAGCACAATATCCATAACTAGCAAGAGAGAACCAAAGAGTGATATCACATACCAGTTAGCTTCGTGCAGATGCCACTCCCCTTCAGATTCGCTGCCGGGAGGAACACAAGCGGCTCTCCATTATAAATGCCAACCCCAAGATTACCACTCCCATCCGTCTTCGCATCAATGCAGTTCAAGACCTCAATAACATCCAAGTTCGCCGTGAACCCCGTATCGGCAGACAAAAGCGTCATCACCTCCTCTCCTCCGGCGCCGCGATTCGTGAACAAGCTGACCATCTGCTTCCCATCGTTTCCCTTGCGCATCAGCAGGGTCTGCGAATCCGGCTGGCTCACTGAAATCCGCTGCTTCACCCAGTCCTTGTCCACTGTTATCGCGCGAGAACGGACTTCGTTCAGCTGTTTGATGAAGGTGTATAGCGTGCCGGTAGTCTTGTAGCCGCTGAACCAGAGGGCTTCGCGGGATAGAGGTGGAAGACCGCCTCCGAATCCTTGTTCTTGGCCGTTGTATATGATGGGAATGCCGTCGGTGAGCATGGTGTAGGCGATGGCGTTCATGTCGAGAGAGACGTCTGTTGTTTTGAAGGGGAATCGCGGCAGATCGTGGTTTTCCATAAAGGACCCCAAGAGCGTTGTGTCCGTGCAAGAGGCGTTCATTTCCTTGATGCCCTGGACTAGCGCAGTCAATGGGCCTCCTTGGAAACTGCTGGTTATCCAGTAGTATCTAGAGGATGGACTGTTAGCTTATGGTAATGCCGGGTTGGAGGGTGGGAGGGCATACGAAGGATAGTTCATCGCCCCCGACATGACTTCTAAGTATGAGCACAGCGTCGGGGGGTCTCCACTGAACACCTCGCCAAGGATGTGTATGCCCCCGGCGGCTTTTTGGAAGGATGGATAGAAACCCTTGTTGACTTCCTGAGCGGAGTCAATACGCAGGCCATCGATGGTGTAGTTGGCTATCAGTTGGCCAATCCACTTGTTGAATTCGGCCTGAACATCGTCGTCTTCGGTGCGCAAGTCGGGGAGCGAGACGAAACCGGTACCAGCGTTGGAACCCGCCCAGCATACCTCGGTGGAGCTTTGGCTCGTGAAGTCGATAGGGCAATGAGGGTGGTAGAAGGATTCCTATGAAACCATTAGCTTTTCTTCTGGCACCATATATATTTATTTCATGGGAGACATACCTTGTTAAAAGGGTGAAGAGTGCTATAATCAATCTCCTCTGGGGATCCCGCGTAGGCCATGTGGTTTGTCACCACATCAACCATCAAGTACTACGTACACTCGCCGTTAGAATATGCTAACACATTGCTGAACTCGGGGATGCCAGGCGAGAAGGCAGAGCCCCGGTACCTTGGGAACGAACTTACCATTCCCCTAGCGTGCAGCTCATCAGAAAGGTCCTTCAGATCATCCGCGGTCCCAAAATTCGCATTAAGCTGGTAAATATCATCGGCCCAGTATCCGTGATATGCGGCTCCGTCCGCCGTCTTATTCACAATATTCTTGACAACGGGGGATATCCAGACCTGTTCTGCCATTAATTTGCGTCCTGTGAGAATCAAAAGCCCACCCAGATGGAAGCACGTACAGCAGTAAACCCCATCCCCTGGATATAGTCCAATTCCTTCACTATTCCCTTCCATGAACCCCCGCAGTAGTCCTGCTTTGTTAGATCACAATGCGCGGTTGTCGACCCGTCGGCGCGTGCGAATCGATCTGTCACAATCTGGTATATGGATTGGGATCGCCATTCTGCCGGCGAGAGAGCCTGCGCAGCGGAGAGGAGGAAGGCGGCGAAGAGGGCGTCAAGAGCACGCATTTTGCGGCTCGGACAGCTGGGTCAACAGTTGATCTCTCTGGTACCGCTTAGACAAGCAAGGCTGTTGGGTATCACGCAGAAATAGGAAGGATGCGCGAAAAGGAGGACGCTATGGAAGGAAGCAGTTCAGCACAACGGCATTTTACAGTGGGAAAGACTGGAAATGGCTCGAGAGTTTTCTATATACGCGCGACAACACTATTATCCTTGGCCTCTGCGCTTGGGGCGCGAAGGATTTCTGGTAATTTGGGGCTGGGGCTGATGAGCTGGGGATGTAAGCTGACAGCTCAGTGTGCCATAGAATAAAAAGTTATAAATAGATGTACGGCCAAGTATGCCAAGCACGTGATTTATGTCAAACCTTACCCGCATTAAGATTGGGTCGTAACTTGGCATGTCTCACCGCTTCTATAATAAAATGGAGTGCATATAATATTAACGGGCGAGTATTAATAATAAGCAAGGCGTCTGTGAGGAGCGGACTGTTCATAGACCTTGGATCTATCAATCACTCAATCCGTGGATACCATCTATGGTGCCCGACATTAATGCACGCCTTACTGAGTGCGGCTAGCGAATAAGACCTCCCCCCTTCATTTAGAAAGCTTATTTCCCAAGGGACAATTCTTATTTGCAGAAGATTAGATCACGTAAGCTTGCCTTATCGATTGAGGGGTCAGACCAGAGCCGTGACAACATTGGCAGTTGCGACACACAAAAACAACACCAACGTTCTTTCTAAATACAGACCTTGAAAATGATCAGCCTCGTTGCTTTCGATCTCGATGGAACGCTTGCCATCAGCAAGCAGCCATTGAAGGACTCTATGGGTGAGGCGCTGGCCGACCTCCTAGCTGTTGCCCACGTCTCCATCATCTCAGGGGGTGACTGGCCACAATTCGAGAAGCAAATCGCCAGCCGCTTGCCAGCACGTGCCGATGTAACTAAACTATGGCTTATGCCGACCACTGGAACCAAGCTATACCAGAACAAGGGTGATGGGTGGAAGGTGGTATATGCCGAGCTGTTCACCGACGAGCAGAAGAAGGATATCCTCGAGGCATTTGACGCTTCGCTGGAGGCCACTGGCTTCACACCAGAGAAGACCTGGGGCGAGCGAATTGAAGACCGCGGCAGCCAGATTACCTTCTCGGCGCTTGGCCAGGAAGCACCCATCTCCGCGAAGCAGCATTGGGACGCCGATTTCGCCAAGCGTAAGGTGATCCAGGTTGACTTGCAGAAGCGCCTGCCCGATCTGTCGATCAACATGGGCGGCACAACCTCGATCGATATTACAAGGAAGGGTGTTGACAAGGGATACGGTCTGAAGAGGCTGAGCGAGGCGACCGGGCTCCCCCTTGAACAGATGATGTTTATCGGCGATGCCATCTTCCCAGGTGGTAACGACTATCCTGCCAAGCAGATCGGGCTGCCCACTGTTGACGTCAAGGACCCAGAAGGCACTCTTTCCGCAATTGCTGCCATTGTCGCGTGCCTCTCGTAGTACATCAAGTCACGGAAGCTGGATTTCAATTCTACCGTATTTAGACGTGCATGGTCGCGTTCACTCGATGATTATTGATGGCGATATGTCGCCAAGATTACTGGGATATGGGCTTCAACTCTTGCAAGATCCAAACTTAAACCAAGATGGAATGGACAGGAAAAGTGAAATGGGATGGGAATCGTTTCTAATTCGACCAGACGATGGCACTTGGCCAATCTGTTTGTCACATCTGGGTATATAGACCGCGAAACTGCCACAAATTTAGTCACTGATATTGAGAAAACCCCATGATATTTCCCTTCATCAACCGATTATGAAAACAAGCCCTCCTATTAACTGCTAACACTAGCAGTCTTAGGTAAATCACTCCCAACAGCACAAGTCGCTCCCGCATCCACGGGAAGTATAACACCTGTTACCCACCTCGCCTCATCCGACGCCAAAAACCTCACTGCACACCCCGCATCCCACCCATTCCCCTCCGTCCCCAATAAACTCCTCTTCCTCCTCGCCTCCCTCGCCTCCTCACTCATCCCACCCGCATACATCATCGGCGTGTACAGCATACCAGGGCACACGCAGTTGACTCTAATACCATCCGGCGCATGATGCGCCGCCATCGCGCGCGTCATGTTCACAATCGCTCCTTTACTCGTCGGGTAAAGAAGATGCGGCGTGCCGCCTCGGATACCGGCTACACTGCCCATATTCACGATGGAGCCGCGCACCTGTCCTGTGTTTTTCTGCATGGCGGGGATCGCATACTTGGCTGATAAGACCATGCTGCCAACGTTGACTTCCATCCCCGCTGCCCACTCTACCATATCAACATCGACAGCTGTACCGCGCGCGCCACCGATTCCAACGTTATTAATGAGGATATCGAGGCGACCGAAAGCCTTGACCGCAGCTTCAACCATGGCTTCACAATCTGTAGCTTTAGTGACATCCCCGTAGAAAGCGAGGCCTTTTCCCTTCCCCTCTTCAGTGATCATCTCCACCGTCCGATTCGCCCAGTCTTTCTCGCGGTCTACGCAAAGAACGGAGGCGCCTTGTTCGGCGAGGAGGATGGCGGCCGCGCGACCGTTGCCGATGCCGTCACCTGCGGACCCTGCGCCGGTGACTATGGCTACTTTGCCGGCGAAGGAGCCGCTGATTGGCCTTGATGCCACTTCGGGTTGTTGGCTTGCCATGATTGCTTGGTGTGGATTATTTGGTGCTGATAGTTGGAGAATGGCGTGAGAATGAGAATGTTATCTTACTGGAACATGGAGGGGTGGGTTCGTAGCTATACCCCGCGTTTACCCCACATGGATACCCCCGGGACTATAGAATTAACTGACACCTCGGGAATGCTTAACCACGCACAACGCATGATGGGCTCTCTAGTATATAGTCTTCTCTTGGACCACGCATTCAATCGAATACTAGCGCCGGGTCTCTTCAACCAACCTTAAGCGTGTAGGCGTTAAAATCACTATGTGATGCTGCACTATATGAGTTTCTATGTCCGTTTAAAACGAGAAATAGTAACTAGCAAATGTGGCTGACGCCTTAGAGTGAATGTTATGCGACTTATTGTATTACATGGTGACTGGCGTTTAAATAGCAACGATGAGGGCCGACGAGGCTCTACCTATGCTACAGATGATATACAGGTTGTTGCTGTAAATTGACTTCTAAAAATAGGTGAGTCGACAGAGTACCATGGAAGCTGGTTTGCCAAGCATCTAACTACAAGCAGAACTAACAACTAACATATCATATCATAAATCTGCAGTATGCTCCCCACCTATCACCGCGACGCTTCGGCCCGTGCGTCTGTTGGTTGACCCAGAAGACAATGCTGGGTCAACCATCGGTGATTTGTGAACGAAGCGCGTGGGGTATGACAAGTGGCTACAATTGTATATAGCCAACACATCCCCCATCGTCTTGTAATTCCGTTCGTCTTTCACAAATCCACACAGCGTCTTAGCCTCCGACTCTTGCTCATAATGGAGTGGCCAGAGTTTACGAACCCGTTCGTCGGTATAAAACCTCCGCCGGGCGTTCATGTTCCCGAGCGCGAGGAGCTTCTAGGTAGCATCTGTGCAGAGAGGTCGCCTCGTTCCGGTTTTGCATACCCACCGGAAGCGCCCACATTCTGGATCAAGTACGGCTTTGCAGTATATTGGAATGAGGTATGCGGCCAGACCGTGGCATATGATGGCCTCCGACAGATTGGATCTTAAGTGCGAGCGCCGGGAGTGTACTACGCCTTTAAAGAAGATACAAGTACTTACATTGTTATGGAGTACATTCCAGGAAAGACTGCCACACAGTGCTTGGAGGAAACTCAAGATGAGGCAGAAAAAGAAACGATCTATCGGTCCATGGCCTTCGCAGTTAGTGAGCTTCACCGTATCCCCATCCCTGAGTCCCGGCGACGGCTAGCTGTCATCTCTGGGGAGAGGTTTCGCCATAATATTTTCGAATCTCATCTACTAGCTACCCGTCACTACGAGAACACGGAGCAATTCCAAAATCATATTAATACGGTTAGTTCTTACCTCAATTTGACCCAAATCTCATACGGACAGTCTAACGAAACGTATCTAGTTCCTAAGATTAACCAAACGAGAGAATCGAGTTCATGGCCTCCATCAAGAGCCGATGGTTTTCTGCCAGGCAGATATATACCATGGCAACTATATGATCGATGCTGATAACCGGGTAACGGCCATTGACTTCGATCTTTCGAGCATCGTTCCGTCTAGCTTGGCAAAATTCTCTGCGCGCTTTCACAATCTCGGCGTTGACATTAGTCAGTGGGTGGACGTCCCAGCCACTGAAGGGATCGACAACACTGAGGCGCTGTTGGTGGCATATGGCCCCATGACCATGGGATCGAGTTCGTTCTATAGAGTCGGTAAGAGGACTCGTGGCGGAGATGATGAGACTCAGAACAGAATCAACCAGGCTTTGCAACACGAGGTGAGGGATTATCCTAGGTCTTGGGGGCCAACGATGGGTGAAGTTATTGCCGCGCAGGAGGCAAACGACAAGCTAGGTGTGGAAGTGGATCCTTCCGTGCGACGTTACACAGCTGAGGAGATCAAAGAAATCAAGGGCTTTGGCTGGGGCAAGCCCAAGCCCCGCATACTCCGCAAGCTCGTCGAGGATGACCTACCCTAATTTCAAAATGTATTGGCAGAAACGTGAGCGCTGGAAACCGTTCTTTTTTGTTTGTGATAAAGGAACGATTCGTCCAGGGAAAACTTTAATATCACATAACTAGCTACAGTCCGTGCGAGGCTGGCAACCAGCACCGCCTTTCAGATACTTCACGTCGATGGGTTAAGCCCATAAGCAACGATCGCCGTCCCGCTCCAAAGCATAATCTGCTCCTCCATACCCAAGCCTCCCATCTCGCACATCCTCTCCACCACCGCCCTCCACTTCTTCCACGCATCTTCGCCAACGCCCACCGTGCAGACCGGCCAGTCGCTTCCGAACATCAGCCTCCCGCGGAACGCCGCGAGGATGACAGACAGCCAGGGCAGGATGGCGGCGAAGATGTGGTTTGCGGATTCGGTTTTCAGGGAGTCCGGCAGCTCGGATAGGCACCCGCTGAGCTTCATGTAGGTGTTCTTGGCTTGGGATAGCTTGAACATCGCCTCGCGCCACTTCTGGAAGCGGGGGTTCGCGTGGAGTTCGTCGGGTGGGAGAGCGTAAAAGGAAAAGTCGGGCTTGCAGAGGTGGTCTGTTTCTCGTTAGCACATGAACAGAAATCCGCATGCAGAAGCAGTATCGGAAGAAGGGGATATACATACTTATCACAATCCTAACTTTCTCTCCATCCTCAACACCCTCATGAGCCAATTTCACCATCTCCACCGCTTCCTCCAACTGCCAATCCCCCCCATTGTGCTGATCAACCCCCAAATCAAACGTCAGCTTCTCCCTCCCCAACAGCTTCAAGCCCTCAATAAAGCCCTCCCCCAGCATCGTTCCCGGCGGCTTACTCTGCACCAAATACCGGAACCCAGAGATCCTCTTTCCCGCCTCCTCCCCCGCCACCTCCCGCGCCTTCTCTATATACCGCTCCACCACCGCCGCTCCGCTCGGCAGCGGCGCCCACGGCACAAACCCCTGCACTAATTTGGCATGGCTTTCATCGTGGCCCTCGCCCTCCTTGGGCTCACCAACGGCAACGCGCCGGATCCAGTCGACCTCCATCAAAGGCCCCGCCCAGCCGCTGCCGTCAGCCTCGCCGGAGTCGAGGTCATGCTCGCGGTCTGTCTCGAGGAAGACGAATCCCTCGAGTTCCGGGGGAGAGGTGGTGGCGGCGGTGTATTCTTCGAGGGAGTGCTGGTTTGTGGATAGGGGAAGGTTGGGATCGAACCAGGCGAGTGTGTTCACCTCAGATGCGGGGTAGATGTGGATGTGGGAGTCGATGATGGGGTATTTAGGGGTGACGGCGGGAGACTCGGTGGTTGTAGATGCCATGGTTAATTATATTTTGGATTTCGATTGATTATTGATGGGTATCTGATTATAAAGTACTGTACGAATTGCTTTTGTTGAATGGGTTGTTGATGGCTCTGGTCTATCTTCAGCTATGTGGGGTTTATCTCGCAAGGCTGAGGCGATTCGTTTAGGGGTCCAAGCTCCCCTGGTGGTGGATACCGAAGAGTTGCTGGTCGGGGGGTGTTTCCCCGAAGACGGTGGGGTTATGAGACCAAGCCGTGTAATTGTAAGACCTGGTGGATGACCTCGGACTGTATTACTGTTTGCATCCGCCACTCTGTCTTTTAATATTAAACGAAAGCAGACCGGGATTTTTCTTAACATTCTTATTTCTTCCACCTTACTATTTTTCAAGTTGTGAGTACTCCGAGTCTCCAAGCAGCTCCAACTGACCGACGAAATAGCCCGATTGTCGAAAGTGCGGGGTAAATTATCAGATCACCACCATCACCACCACCACCACCAAACTCCCACAATGGCCTCCCCACCACCAGGCGGCGTCTACGTCCCCGTCCCAACCTTCTTCGTCGGCAAGACAGCTCCAAACTACAATGCGGCCGCTGCTCCCTTCGACGCGGAGACGCAATCCAAGCACTCCATCCACCTCGCCAAAAGCGGCATCCGCGGGCTCGTGATCCTCGGTAGCACCGGCGAGGCAGTCCACCTCACCAACAAGGAGCGCTTCGAGGTCCTATCTTCCCAGCGCAAGGCCCTTGACGAGGCAGGATTCAAGGACTACCCCATCATCGCCGGGACAGCCACCCAAGACATCGAGGGAACGGTCGAGCAGCTCCAAGAAGCCCAAAAGGCCGGCGCACAATGGGGTCTCTGCCTCGCACCCGGCTACTTCGCTGGTGCCGTCACGCAAGAGGGAATCGTGAAATGGTTCCAGGCTGTCGCTGACCGCAGTCCAATTCCCGTTATGATGTTGGTTCCCTCCTCCTCAAAAAAGGCCACGTGCACCAGCTAACAAACCCCGCAGCTACCACTACCCCGGTGTCTCCAACAACGTCAAAGTCACCCCCTCCACCTACGCCACTCTCTCCGCCCACCCCAACATCGTGGGCTGCAAGCTCTCTCACGGGGATGTCTCGTACCACGCCCAGATCGGCGCGAACCCTTCCATCGACCACAGTCACTTCCACACCTTCACCGGTCTCGGACAGCAGCTCCTCCCCATCTTGGCCTTGGGATGCGCCGGCACGATCGACGGCAGTGCAGGATTCTTCCCTAAGTCGGTGGTGCACCTGTACGACCTGTGTCTTAAGGAGGGTAAGACTGCGGAGGATATCAAGGAGGCGAGGACGCTGCAGTATAAGATTAGTGCAGTGGAGGAGCTAGTGGTGAGGTTTGGGACGGTGGGGATTAAGGAGGCGGTTTCGAGGGTGTTGGGGTTGGGGGAGAGGGATGGGACGAGGTTGCCGCTTGTTGGGGGGATTCCGGGAGGGGATGCGGAGTGGGAGAATTGGAAGGGGGCGGTTGGGGAGTTGGAGGCTGTGGAGAAGTCGTTGTAGATTGAGGTATAGCTTTGATAGCTCTTCGTAGCTCATAAATCATAGCTTAGCTATTGCATGCAAATAAGAGATATATATCCGCTTTCATTCCACGTTCCTATGTCGATTTATCAACCTACTATATACCCAGAACGCATTCACCATGCCCTCGCTGCAGATGTAGTCAACGTCGACCTCTCCGAACCAATTCCAGCACCTCACTGCAGCTGTAGTTAACTTCCACCTCTCCAAACCACTTCCAGCACCTCACTGCAGGTTAACAAACATCCCCCCATCCACCAAAAGCTGCGCCCCATTCACAAATCCACTCAACTCCCCACAGGCCAAAAAAATCGCCGGCCCAACCATATCACTCGTCTCCCCAATCCTCCCCAACGGAATGCGCCCCTCCATATACCTCTCCTTCTCGCCCACCAAATCCTTCTCATTCAACTGCGTCCTAATCGTGCCCGGCAAGAGGGCATTACATCTAATCCCGTACTTCCCCAGCGCGACAGCCATAGATTGCATCAGCGAGGTCACGCCGGCTTTGGTGGGTGTGTAGTGCACTTGTTGACCGCCGCCGACGAGGGCGGAGATGGAGGACATCCCGATTATGGAACCGCCGCGACCTTGTGTGGCCATTTGGCGGGCGGCGGCTTGGCAGGCGTAGAAGGCGCCGTTGAGGTTGATGTTTACTGTTGAGGCAAAAAGATCCGGTTCCATACTATCGTTGGTATCAGCACGACGTCCCTCCTCAGCTCTCACCACCAAGTAATAAACTCTCCAAGGAGAAGGGGGAAGACTCACTCCAAAACCTCAGCAAACTTACAAACCCCCGCATTACTCACAAAAACATCTAACCCCCCCCACCTCTCCACCGTCTTCCTCACCAGCTCCTTCCCCGTCTCCGGAAGGGAGATATCACCCTGCACCTCCATCAACTCCCCAGCACCGGCATCTTTCTCCTTCAGCGCCTTCGCCTCCTCGATCAAGGAGGCGAGCAGTGAAGCGTCGGAAGCGAGACCGAGATGGTTGGCGGCGACGTTGCAGCCTTGGGCGAGGAATCCTAATGTGATGGCCCGACCGATGCCCGTGGTGCCGCCGGTTATGGCGGCGGTTTTGGAAGCGAGGAGGGCGGTTGGTGGCATTTTGTTTTGCGGGTGGGTTTTGGTGGTGGTTGTGATGGGTGAGGGTGAGAGATGTTTCAGACGGATAGGTGGGATGTAGTCGTCGTGGTTGAATCGCGTGTCGACTGTAGCTATAGCTGTAAGCTTTAACCCACCAAACAAAACACACAACTTCGTCAAAAATCGTTAAAACAGTTATATTTTCTTAGATCAATCACATCCACAATCCAGTGGACACGCGGATACGCCTACGTTGCTATATCTCCTCTCCTCCAGTTACCGTTTCCGGAAATCCCACCCCTCACTCCCCAATGGAGGGGTCACGTACCCCCCACGACACTTTTCCGCTAGCGGCTCCCCTCCCAATCCACCCAGGTTTCCCCCTGTACCCCGCCATATTCGGTGGTCTTTCACCCACCACCGAGCTGCCGAAACCACCAAAATGACGATTTTGCCGAGACGGAGAAATTAGGAAGGCAAAACTGTATGCCCGCATGTATACCCGCCGCCACGCACGCACACGCGCACGCAAGATCTGAGAGCCAGCCGGATGGGACGCACGAGGACCGGCATTTCTTTTTTAGTTATATTAAAAAAAAGTTGGGGGAATGCGGGGGAGATGGGATTCTGCGCGTCGTTTGCATGCAAGTTTCACTTTCTGCCGTGTATATGTCCCAATCCATGTCAATACCGTTAAACTGTATAGCAGTAGGGTGTAGTAGAGATAGTTTCGAATTATATGCACAAAAAAGTCTAAACTACCTTCTACTGCCAAAAAATACAATAACACAAGTCAATTTATTCCCCGAGGTCCCCCCGCGAAGCCAATGAAAGGCAACAAAACAATCAAGCAAAAGAGCAAACAGCAAAGAATATGTAGTTTCATAAAGTCCCCAATCATGCAGATGTCGTCAATCCGTTGACCCCATTCACCAGCTCCTCTACAATACTCGTCTGCTCCTTCCCGCCATCAACCGTTGGCGTGGATTTCTCCGTCGCGGCGGCAGCCTCCTGCGCAGTGACTGCTGGGACAGAAGCCTCCTGTGAAACAACCGGAGCTGCGGCAACAGGTGCAGCCTCAATCTGAGCGCGCTGGAGCGGGCCGCCGAGTGGGCGTTCCGGGTTGGGGGTGAGGAGGTATTGTGCGGGGATCAGGCGAGCGGCGGGGTTGAGGGTGAGACCGAAGCCGGGCTTGTCGAGCTGGTCGGCGGTGAGGTAGCCGTTGATCGGGATGGGCTCGTCGATGAAGAGGTCGCCGAAGACGGGGAGGACGCTCTTTCCGTCGGGAGAGTTTGCGAGGTATTCTTGGAAGGGGCAGTTGGTCTGCGAGATAACGTAGTGGTAACTGTAAGGGCCGCTGGCGTGGGGGACGACAGGGATGTCGTAGGCGGCGGCCATGGCGGAGACCTTCAGGAGCTCGGTCAGTCCACCGAGCCACATCACGTCGGGCTGGATGATATCGAGGTTGCGGCCCTCGATGAGCTTGCGGAATCCGTAGCGCGAGTACTCGTGCTCTCCGGTCGTGAACTTGACTTGCGGGTGGGCGCGCTTGATGAGCGCAAATCCATCAGTGTCATCAGGCGACAAACACTCCTCCCACCAGTTAATGTTGAGGTCTAAGCAGGCCTTGACAATCTCAATTGTGTACTGGACGTTCAAGCTCATGTAGCAGTCGACCATGATTGGGAAGTCTGGTCCAACACTCTCGCGGTGCTTGCGGAGGAACTCAACGTTCTTCCTGAGGCCGGCGTGGCCCTCCTCTGGGCAGTATGGAAGCGGGACCTTAGCTCCCCAGAAACCCATCTTCTTAGCAGCAGTGGGCTCCGGGCCGGTGCAGTAGAAATCGAGCTTCTCGCGGGTTGCACCACCGATCAGCTTGTAGACTGGCTCGTTGCGAACCTTTCCTTGGAGATCCCAAAGTGCCAAATCAATGACGGAGATGACAGCAACGGGAAGACCCTTGCGGCCGTAGAACATGGAGGCGCGGTACATTTGTTCGAAGATGTGGTTTGTGTCTCTCGGGTCAGCACCGATCAGGAAGCGCTCGAAGTGCTGGTGGACGAGCCAGCAAGCAGGAGGGCCTGAGACAATGTTAGAAATGCTGGCTGCGAATTCATGGCGGTGAGTATACGTTACCTCCGAATCCAGTAGCAAAGCCAACTGTGCCATCTGTTCCCTCGATTTCCACACAGAAGGAGCCCAGAACGTTAATTCCCCAGCTCAGTCTCGAAGCACGATATTGCTCCCATCTCGACATAGGCGTGGAGATGGAGGTGTCGACGAGCCTGTCATACTCGTCAGCAAGGTGCGGGGTGAGAGTATGGTGATCTTTGAGACGATCGTGTCTGTGGTACATACCAATGGCCGCCCTCGACATTGTGGTAATCGCCTCCGGAGCCAACGCCATCGATCACGTAGGTCCTAATGGCCTTGATCTTGGGGAAGTCTTTAACCATCTTGTCGGGTTATGTTGTAAATGCGCGGATTAATTGAGGAATGGCACTCAGAGTCCTACCTGGCTGGGAGGAACCAAGTATTTGTATGGATTGAGGATATGAAGAAGAGAAGAGGGATTGAGGGGAGAAGAGAAGAAGAAGAAGAAGGCGGAATGGGAAGGGACCGATAATTGTAACGGTTAGCTCTGAGAGGCTCTTTCCCTCACGATCAGCACGAGGACATGCGGGCGTAGTGTGTTTTGTGGGGTGTAACGTTTACAGTCCTCGGTGTCTCTCGGTGGCTATTAACCCAGGACCGACGGCCGAGTACAAGCACCGAGTTCCGTGGCGGACAAAGAGTACAATAAAGTACCGGCGACACCGCGGTGTAAACCGGAGAATGGTCGTACTCGTACCGTACTCGTTCCGTGAGAGCGGCGAGAAGCATGTGCCTTTAGACGGTGTGGACGGTGGACGACGACGGTTGCATCCACGCACCACAGGTATATACCACCAATATGCCATAACAGGTAATTGTGCATTATTACATCACACCACTCTTGCATACTCGTCCATAGAAACGGTTGAGACGATACTCACACATGATACACTCACAAACACACTCTGCTCCATGTGGTAAGTATGTAAAAACAATAAGTAGAGCTAGAGTAGACTGTCTTATACTTCTCCTCATACCTGCCTCATACCTGCCTCATACCTACTCTCTTACTTATACCCACACACCCCCTCCACACATCCATCCATCCTGTTCCTGTCTCCCTTGTCCCCTTGCCCTGCTTACCCCTTCTTCTCCTTCTCCCTTCTGTCCCTTTCCCCTTCTCTACCACACTTCCTTCCACCCTTCCACCCTTCCACCATTCCACCCTAACTTCCATCCTTCTACCCTGACATCCTTCCACCCTAACCACCACACTTCTTTCCTTCCACACACCCTTTGATGCAGCACACTAGAGAAACCCCTAACCTTCCCCACACTTTCTCCCTATAACACCCCAAATAATCCCTACAACTTCCCTAAGAACCCCTACAAGCACCAACAACACCACTGGAAATAAGCAAACCTGGCCACTGTCTAGTGCCCACCATCCACCACAACCTCCCTAACCCCGAAAATCACAAATAGTCCTTAAAGAAGGCGTTCCTGTGTCTCCCCTAACCTCCCCGGATCTTTCCTCTCCACACTCCACACTCACTCCACACTTCCCCCCACACTTTTTCGGTCGTGACTTGTGTCTTTGAGCCGAGATACGTAGCCGGCCCAACTGTCACTCTTTCTTTCGCACCTTCATATCCCGAAGCCAAACCCGTTCGTTGATTCATGTTATGCAACCCACCAAGATTGTCTCACGCGATGGATCTTCAACACTCGCCTCAGCCCTCGATCCTGTCTGGCTCCGGCCTCAAGCGCGACAGCGACGGGTACAACGACCAGTACGGTAGTGGTGACGAGAGTCTCGCCGGAGATGGAGATGTCAATGAAAACGGTGATGGCCCGCGCAAAGCCCAGTGTCGTCCCGTGAGGGTATCGTAAGACATCCCTTTCTCGCGGTACCAACCTGAGTTTTCTTTTCACGCGCAAAAAATATATTTATTACGCGCTATCTACTGCACATTGTACCGAGTAAAAAGTATATGGATTACAGATAGCTGACCGACTTGAAGGTGTGAATTATGCAAACAGAGAAAGGTATATCCACCGAGAGCTTCCCCGCCGCAACATGCATCGCCGAGGTGTTCCTGGAAGACCGCGCGATGCGCCTGTGAACCCCAGACTTACCCTCAGTAGGTCAAATGCGATCGCGGGCAGCCATCCTGCCGCTGGTGCAGTCGCAACGGCGCGAGATGCGAATACAAGGAGCGGAAGAAGCCCGGGCTGAGAGTAGGTTCTTGTGAGAAACCCCGCTGTGCACCACGCGACTAATACCCATAGGCTGGCTACGGACGCGAACTCGAGCAGAGGTTGGACAGGTTGGAGGACATTCTGCAGACGCATGCGCGCATCCTTGAGACAGCACTGGCCCCGCAGCAGGGCAACCAAGGCAATCATCTCAACCAGGGCAACCAGGCGGCACTACATGATGGACAGATTCTGGGGAACCATCTTTCGAGGATAGAGGGCCAACCATTCATTCAACAAAAGACTTCAGCCTTCTCTGGATCTACCCCGCAACATGCCGACTTTCACAACTCGTTATCACCGCCAACGCCGTCGATGCAGTCGATGCATGGGGACGCTTATATGCAACAGCAGCACCAGGCGCAACAACACCAAGCACAGCAGCACCAACAGCAGATTGTTCAAAATGGATCTCAGTCGGCTGCGCAATTCTATAACACCGCCCAACCGCCAGTGGAATCGCCCACCTTGAATATCTCCGAGAGTACAACAGAAGCCCCATCTGATAGCGACCTGCCGCCATACGATCTACTTTACGCCCTCGTGGATCTCTTTTTCAAACATGTAAATACATGGTGTCCGATGCTGCACCGCCGGTCGACGCTGGACTCCCTCTTTGGGCCGTCTCAGTTGGAAGAAGCAGACAGGATACTCTTACACGCCATCGTTGCGACCACCTTGAGGTTTTCTAATGACCCGCGGTTGACAGATGAGAGGCGGAACCATTACCACGATATCTCGAAGCAGAAGGTTTTACTATATGGGCTGGAGAATTCATCTGTCAAGGCCCTACAAGCAATGGTCATACTCGCCCTTGACCTAGTCGGAGATAGCAATGGCCCCCCTGGATGGAACGTCCTCGGCCTCATCACACGGGCAGTCGTCCAACTTGGCTTGGCTGTTGAGACGACCTCCTTCTCAGTAGCACCCGACTACCAATCCATCTACACACTCCGCGCCATGGTACTCCCGGACGCAAAAGACTGGATCGAAGACGAATCCCGCCGCCGACTCGTCTGGATGATCTACCTCCTCGACCGCTACGCCACCATCGCCACCGCCTTCGAATTCGCCCTCGACGAGAAAGAAATCGACCGCAAGCTCCCCTGTCGCGACGACCTCTGGAACAAAAACGTCCCCGTCGAGACCCGCTGGTTCCACACTCACACCCACGCCGAGTTCAGCCAGCCCCCTCCCCCCGAAAACCTCGGCGCCTTCTCCTACTACATCGAGATTCTCGGGATCCTGTCGCGGATCCATCAATTCCTCAAGAAACCAGTCGACATCTCCGCCCTCCCCGATGTCGAGAAGTGGCAGGGCGAGTATAGAGAACTCGATAACCTGCTCACGTCGTGGAAATTCGACCTCCCACCCGACTACGGTAGTATGGCGCGCCTCTTCCAGCCTGGCAGCAGCAGAACCATAACCTGCGGCTGGGTCATGCTCCACGCCACCTACCACACCACCGTCATCCGCCTCCACTCCTCCGCCGCCTACCCCACCACACGCTCACCGATCTTCACACCCTCCTACTCCGCCTCCCAACGCTGCCACGGCGCGGTAGAGAATATAGCCGCCCTCGGCGAATTCGTTGTCGCCAACAACATGCTCCCCAAGCTCGGCCCGCCATTTGCTTTCACCCTCTGGGTCGCTGCTAGGCTGCTGCTCGTGCACGGCTCGACGATCGAACATAAATTGTCCCCGCAGATCCAGTTCTTCGTCGATACCCTCCACGCTATGAGTCGGTACTGGAAAGTCGCCGCGCGCTACTCGACTATTCTTCAGCGCGTGCTGGATGAGCATTCCGACTCCGAGACGTCCGCTGCTGCGAACGGGGAGGAGAGAGTAACGCCCTCCAGTGTGAAGATATTGGCTGATATGAGGCGCTGCGCGTATGACCTCGATTTCCTGATATCCCGCCAACCGCGCCATATCGGTGCGCTGGGCCGGCTAGGGGGGCAGGGACAGCCTAATCGGACGCCCGCGCAGAATGAGTTGGAGTATTTGGATGTGTTTGATTTCTTTAATGTGCCCAGGCTGCCGCCTGCGGTGGTGGGCGGGGAGGGGTTGGGAGGAGGAGGAGGGGGAGCGGAGGGGGGAGCGGGGATGCAAGTTGAGGGAGAGCTAGCAGGGGCGAATGGGAATGGGAATGGGAATGGGGGCGAGTTTAATATTACGAATTTTATGGTGGATGCGAATTCGGATTGGTTGTTTAAGAATCAGAATCAGGTCTGAGGGGGGGGGATGGGGATGGGGAAGGGAGTAAGAAGCGGGTGTTGCGGGCGTCTTGTGGGGGGAAATTGGGTCGAGGATCGGATAATCTTGGATACCTGGATGGATGTTGGATATTGATATTAGGGGTTGAAGGAAAAATGGGTTACTGTTAATACAAAGGGTCACATAGCATAGTCATTAGTCTATCCGGAAGGCACTGCACTACTCGCACCTTCCGCGTTATTCATGCACATACACATTTCACATTTCACCATTCACATCATCAACCTCATTCAAACCCTCTTGTGCAGATCAGAAGTATTAATTCCATCCCCATCCACTCTCTCAGAAAATTAATTCTCTCCCCTTCCACCTCATCTCAATCACCCCCTTAATTAATCCCACTCCTCTTCTTCCCCTTGGGCATCCTCCTCCGCTTCTGATTCTAAAATCATGTATGTACCGTAGTTGTGCACAACCATTGTCGTATCGGGTATATCGGTCTATCCCCCCCAACCCCGAAAAGCAAAGCGCCTGCAATGAATGGATCCCATCAATCGAAAACAATTGGTTGGTCGATATGGTTCTGTCTCGTCGTTCCTTCCATCTTCCGTCATCCCGCTCGCTCCTTCCCGTTCCCGCAACACCCCTCGCTCCTTCCCGCCCATCATCCCTCGCTCCTTCCCCAACTTTATCAATTTCCCTCCTCCCTCAAGGCAAGCAGGCTAGGCGTTCACATAAACCCCATCCCCACACCCACCGCGAGCAACGCAACAACCCAAGCACCCATCCCCAACCTCACCTTCTCCCCAGCACCGGTGCTCTCGGTCGGTCCCGCGGGCGAAGAGTCGGTGGTGCCGGTGGTGTCGGTGGGATGGACGACGGTGATGTCTGTGACGGTCTCGACGTCGCCGTTGGAGTCGGTGGTGGTGCGGATGTGGGTGCTGGCGATGGAGGAGTTGGTGAAGGTGTAGGTTGGGAAGGCGGGGCCGGTGGTGGTGGAGGGGGCGGTGATTGTGAGGTTTGACATTTTGAGGGTGGTTTTGTTGGGCTGGAGAGCTGAGAGCTGGTGTTGAGAGGTTGGTTGATTGAGGTAGATTCGAAGATCGATTGATTGATTGATCGGTATATGTGAACTTGGGTTTATTCAACTCTATCTGCTGGCTATACGCTAGAGGTAATTTTTTCTTTCTTTCAAAGAAATCGGAGCCTGGCAGCGAAGTCGCCTTCCTTTATTCCTTCCACCCCTTGTCCTGCTCCGTCAGCCAAGCACGCAGCCACGACGGATACGAGGATGTGGCGGGGCGCACAGGGTGTCGATCGCTGTTGTGCCAGGGGTGGTGGCGTGGCTTGTTGCCTGGTGGATATCGCTGAGTGGGGGTTTTAGTTGAGGTGTTGGTGGTGGGTGGGTGAGGGAGGTGAGGCAAGGGGGCTGGGCGGTGGTGGGTTTACGGGTCGGACGGGATTGTGCTGGACTGGAGGAGTGAGTAAATTATCTAAGTATTACACTGGATTGTTACTACTATAGTTAATTACTACTACTGCTATTACAGCTATGGGGAGAAATTGAAGTCGTATTACTTACTACCTGCGGTATTACTATGGGTAAGAATTCACGTAGTATCGTTATGGCTACGATGTATTTATAGCCCACCATAGCCTCGGGGAATTGATGACGAGGCAGCGCACCTTACCTCCCCATCTCACAGCCTCCATCAACACTCCAATAATGCTCAATTGATTGGCCACTTCCTAATCATCGCAGCTTATCGCTCTCCCAGCCGCTGTTGTGCGTGCTTTCTGTGTTGCTGACAACAGGCGCGCTACTGCAGCCTAGCTATATCGAAGGATCGAAACTCGCGGGTTAGTCGGGACAGCGGCATCGGCGGGAATAGGAAGGGATGGCCGGAGTGTACTGTGGAATGTCTAAGATGCGCCGTTGGGGTTTCAGTCGTGACGATTGCGGATGGGGCGGTGACGAGGGAGTTTCACAGTTATGAGTCCCGTGCGGAGGATGAAACGGCGGCGGAATGTGCGGAGGGCCGCTGGTGAGGTGGCGGCGGGGGGGAAGTCGTCATGGATACACGACGCGGTGGTGGTTGAGAGAGAGTTACTGTGGTATGCTATAGATAGGTATGTATGTGTATGTGTAGCTGGAGAGGCTGGATGTGTGTGTGATATTCGATATCGTGGTTTATGCGGGAGTAACGACGAATTTTTCAAGGTTTTTTACTAGTCAGTCTCATATCGTTGCTGTTCGTTGCTGTTACTGTTGTCTTGGCATCTTCCCGATGAGCCGGTCTATAAACACTAAAGGAAAGGAACGAAAAATAATCTATCCCTCTCATCCTCCCCATCACTCCTCTCCCATTCAATCCACCCCCTCACAAACCCTCCATCAGTACAACACCCGCCCCAACCCCCCACCCCCCCTCCAAACCCTCTCCCTCTCCCTCTCATACCCCCTCCCTCCCCCCATCC